GCCAACATCAAAGCCTACATCCTCATGACTCTACAGGGATTAGAGTATATGCACCAACACTGGGTCCTACACAGGGTAAGAGCACTTATACTTCACACACATACACACGGTGTGGTTTTTCTTTAATAGATTTTATCAAACATTCATTTCTTGGTTCGTAGGAACCAAACCAAAGGCACAGGAAATTTAATACTGAATCAAACAATTTTTATGCTTCAAATAACAGTGAGTACAAAGTACAAATCTGCAAAGGATGCAAGAACAAGAATCTCTTCTCCAACATGTTTTTAACTCTCTCACTCCATGCTCCTGCTAGAGGGATGCAATATTACTGATTAGTCAACAGTTAGACGCAGGATTGTCTGACTGGTCTAATTTTGAAATACTGTCATCACTGTTGCGTTATTATCTGAGCTGCTCATCCTTCTTTGGAAAGTTTCCACCTTTGCACTGTTACAATAGTATACCTGTCTCTAGTCTCTGCTTAACTAAACTTGAACGGTAATGCACACACACACAGTCATTAAGGCATATTTTGCTACCTTGCATGTCCAGGATCTGAAGCCCAATAATCTGCTGTTGGACGGGAACGGAGTGTTGAAGTTGGCTGATTTTGGTTTGGCCAAAGCATTTGGCAGCCCCAACAGAGTCTACACACATCAAGTTGTTACCAGGTCTGTGCTGTGTCTTCATCTCATGGTACTGACACAGAACTTTATGCTCTTCTGTTCTTTCTCATGTGTTTTCCTTACACTCATTGGAAATCTAAATCCATTTAGATAAATATATCATGTGGTTTGTTTTATTAAGTTAAATTTATCTTGTGAGGAGATAACTTTGTGCCTGGTTAAGACATGTGACAGCATGCATTATACAAAATTGACTACTAGACCACTGGATAGCAGCAAATCAGAAAAGCGACGTTGTTGGAGGCTTCAATCCAGTTTAACAGAATTTATCTTCTTCCCAGAGAAGAGGTCCTTTATGGTTTCACTGGCTGACTGAGAGCTGTAAAATTTAACTGTCTGTCTCTCTGTCCATTAACCCCTTTCCTAGGTGGTACCGCTCCCCTGAGCTCCTGTTTGGTGCTAGGATGTACGGTGTGGGTGTTGACATGTGGGCAGTGGGATGCATCCTGGCAGAGTTACTCCTTCGGGTAAACAAACCTCACTTCAAAAAAATATTCATACAGTAACAAGGGATACTGTTCTTTTTATATCCATCCTAATGTCTCTGTGTGTCTCCTTTTACTGTAGATACCATTCCTTGCTGGGGACTCGGATCTTGACCAGCTGACAAAGATCTTTGAGGCTCTTGGGACGCCCACAGAAGAGACATGGCCTGTTGGTATCTGGTTTTTCCCCAGTTATGTCTGGGATTGTATTTGCTTTGGTCAGATGGTGAAAATCCTTGTATACATTTTTTTTTTTTTTGTCAAATGTCTCCGCAGGGAGTGAGTAGTCTACCAGACTACGTGTCCTTCAAAATCTTTCCTGGCACACCTCTGGAACATATATTTAGTGCAGCTGGAGATGACTTACTAGAGCTCCTACAGGGCCTCTTCACCTTTAACCCCTCAACAAGGACCACAGCTACACAGGTAAAAAGCACAGCAGATGATTAAAAAATAATTTGCTAAATCAATATATTTAGCAAATTATATATAGCAAGCAATATAGTTGTTTCCTGCAGCTTTTTGTATTTTTAAAAACATCAGACTTCATATTCTGTCCATATTCTAAGATTAAAAAGATTGACATTAGACAAGCCCACTTTCCTGTTCAGGTGAATGGGGAAAGTGGGCTCATATACTTACTTGCAGTATAGTTGTAGATATTGCTGAGTAAGGTGTGATTGCCCCTCTGCAATTGATGACATATTTACACTTTTGTCTCTTCTTTTCCAGGCTCTGAAGATAAGGTACTTCAGTAATCGGCCTGGTCCCACTCCAGGCCCCCAGCTCCCCCGACCCAACTTTTCAGCTGAGGCTCTGAGGGAGAAGGAAACAGTCGGGCTCAAGAGGAAAATAGAAGGCTTGGAGACAAGTAAAGAACACATAAGCACTATATTTATATCCATACGCCACTGACTGTATTTGCTATATATACCAAAATCTACAAAGTGCTTCCCTGACCTTGGTTTGCCTGAAGTCAAATAATCAGTATTATTATAATAAAACAGTTGGAGCAGTTTGAGCAGGATAAGGGGAAGTGTCTGCAACAAATATTTGAGGCTTATTTTGAAAGAGCTAGAAAATGTATAACATCCCGCGCAGACCAAAGTTACATATTGAATATCGGGAATTTTTGCATAGTAAACTGTTCCTGTGTTTGCATGGTTATGTACACTAAGGTCTTAAATTTAGAATACCACTCCACTGAACCTACCAATTCAAAGGGTGTTGGCTGCACATTTAACTGCAGTTAAAAATTCAGAATACACTGAAGTAGAACACACACACATATAGTTTAGAGGGCTGTGGGAGGGTATGTTTTACTAAAGGAGGACCTTGGTGTTACTGGGAGGTTCAAAGCTTTTCCAGCTCCTCATGTGGTTTGGAAAATATCTGGGCTGACTATACGCTATGCTCTGTGCTACAGTATATTACAGAGAGAATCTCCAAATACTTACAGTAGATGGAAACTTCCGTGGTTAGCAGATTGCTCATTATAGGCTTGTTTTACTTGTACACGTAGTGCAGGTATATATCTTATTTTGTATCATAGATTTACATGTAAAGTGAATGTAACCATTTTAGGTGCTTTTTTATAATGTTTGTGACAACGATCTTTGTGTTATTTACAGCTGTGATGAAGAAGAAGCTCATTTTCTGACCAGATGGTTAAATCAGATCGTCGCCTTCTTCACACCACTGCGTGGTTCAGCTTCCCACATTGCTCAGGATTGTCCACTGGAATGAAAAAAAGAAGTCCAAACCCAGCACGATGTGGTCGCCTCTAGGACATTTTAGAAGTTATAGCTGTTACATGAGTTGGGAATTGGGCATAAGGATAGCTCTAAGTATCCAGGTGCTGCTGTGCCCAGCAGTCCAGCAACTGATGTTCAACAGAGACTGTCTGCGGTCAATAGTGCTGGCTCTGGTTGTTCTTCACTGATGCCTAAACTCTGGGAGCCTGTTGGAAGGTGTCTAATTTATGTGACTTAAAAAGAGAACAACCAAACAAGCAAGTCTGATTTATTTCATGTAGATGTTTTTTTTTTTATTTTTTGTATGTAAGACCAATAAATGGTGCATATGCATATATGTGACTGACCTACTTCAATAACTTACTATGAAACTGTTTATATTTTGTTGGTTTTTGTGCTCATGATTGTGAGAACTGAAATGTTCCCACAGGTTCACGAGTTTGTACAATAACACACATACAGTTCACAATATGCAGACTGATTTCATGTTCGAAGCATTCACACAGTTTACTTTTTCACCTGTTGAATGTGTGTGGACAGAAATATACTTGTGATTTATTTACTCAGCTCGGTAGTGGGAGTGAGGGGGAGTCTGTCTGTCTGCGTGCTCGACAGTATCATGAAACAATGTGCCACTAGACATTGCTTTCACTCGCTGTCCTTTCTCTTCAACATGACTGTGATCCAACACAGTCTGACAAGTCAAAGGCCTGATGATCTAGCAGGCGTTCTGCTGCCCTTTTGGTTTCCTGTCAAACAGGATCAGATTAGAGAGAAGAGAATGTGGCTGTTGGAAAAATTCAGTCTTCGTATTTAATTTAATCAAATCTATTTCTTATTCAATAAAAAAAAGCCAGTGCAGATTTGTATTTTCTGTTTAATGTTTAAGGCCCTCTGCTTCAGTGCTTACAATGAGATCATGCTTAAATTTCCTTTTGAGGTATATCAGATTGATTTTATGAAAAATCATAAATACAAATGCATACATCTGGCGGACTTGTTTAGTGTGATGACTCTTGATCTGAGCAGTGAAGGTCATGGATTTGAGGTTGTGGTCCCAAAGTTCAGAGAGAGGCCACCCTGTGTGATTCAAGCCTATTTATAAATGACCACAATACAGCACTGAAAGGGGACACAGTGGCCTTGTGTGGCGGCAGTGGGTGAATGGGTCAGATGACAGGTTTGGCAAATTGCTACACAGTCATAGAGAGCTACAGTAGCACACTTACTGTATCAGCTCATTTGAAGGCCACTTCACTGGCCAGGAAAGCCATTGTCTGACTCAGCCCTTAGTTGCCCACGTGCTGTTTCTAAACACAAGTACAGGGTCATGGGGAGAAACTGATACTCATATGTCTGAATCAGGAAGATGTGATTGTGTGAAGATCTGCAGTGGGATGATTAAAACCCCTTAGCATGAATAACACTGGGTAGAGCCTTATGTGAAGCAGAAAAGTCAAAGATCTCTGTGTGCACAGATACGTTAAGGTACACTACCATTATCTACATAAACAAGCAGGTTTAATGATCTTCCTGGAGATCTGATCTTCTGGATGAGTGATTATAAAAAAACTGAACATAACATAATGAGAAATTTACCATCTTTTTATCAACAGATGGTAACTGATTAATATGATTTGGGGAATTGATATTATGATTTGATATTATCATCCTGAATTGTAAATGAAAATAAGACCACAGTGAAAATGCAATTAAATATTTAAAATGGACTTTAAATGCCTTAATATTAGTGTATGGTAAGCTAACTCTCATAAAATGATTCTACATTCCCTTCATATTCCATGATGGACTTGTAATGTGCCTGGGGTAGTGATTTTATTGCATCCCTCTAAAATTCATAATATTTTTCACAAGGCAGTTGCAGTATTTGAAGTATAAATGAAATGAGTCATATATTTCCTCTCCTTCACAGCCTATTTAATCATCTGGTTTAAGCTCCTTCTTGACGCTGTCTGTGGCAGAGACATCACAGCTTTGTGTTTGGGCTTTTTATTGGTGATGTGCAGTGGGAGGAGAGACAAGAGGAAGAAGAAAGGAGGGGGAGGAGGAGAGACAGCGGCGGCCAGGCAGGCAGGGAGTACGGAGCAGTGTGAGGTGGACAGCCGCGTTCTTCCTCCCCGTGTGGTAGTGATTTCATGTGGAAGTAGGAGAAAGCGATTGAGAAAAGCAGCCAACTGGTCCTCTGAAACGGAATTTATTTATTGTCTCCCCGCAGAATGTGCACCCCGTGTTGTATCTCGCAGGTGAGGAACGATTGTCCGACTAACTGCTTTTTGTTGTTGTTGAATGGTTGACGGTTGTGAACGTTACAGTGAAGCGTTACAATGGAACGTTACGTTAAGTCGAGCGTCGACTGTTTCAGTGTTGTTTAGTGTTTGTATCAGTATCTGTGGCCACTCACCGCCAGCTAACCCGAGTCAGCGAATTTTTTGTGTGTTCTGGGGGTTTCCGACCCCATTGTTTGCGACCGCAATTTATTAACTGTATGGGGGGGGAATCACTATTTTGTCAGGGAACCGATTGAATAACTTCACTGTAGCGGTGTTAAAGCCGTTGGAAGACAAAGAGAGACGAAGCAAAGCAACTAGCTAAAACATCAGCCACCGAGCGGCGAGTAGCCAACAGTACCTGCTATCAAAAGTACCGTCATGTTTGAATGTCTGTAGACATGTAAGATATGGAAACTGAAACATTATGGCGTGACAGTCCTCACACTTGTCTGCCTAAAGTCGGTGTGATAAATGTATATTCGTTGTTGTTTTCTTGTTTTCTTTACAATAATGCACAGTTGTCCTTTTCCAACCACCAAAGAACATCTTGCTCCCCAGCTCAAAAACTTCAGTCCAATCCGATCTCTAGCCACCACTTCTAGTATAACACCATAAAGCCCTGAGGTGGCTATGGTCAGTTAGTTATTATACTTACTTATACTAAGTTTTACTTTAGAATTACTTGTAAAAGGCAGACAGTTCGTGGCTCACTTAAAGATTAAGTACATTATATGTTTTTGTTTGTCTACGTTATCAAGTTGCACAATACTTTTAAAGGCAGGCAGCTCCTGTCTTGGATGGAAATATACATTGTATACCCAATGAAGGGAATGAATGGTGACAGCTTTTGTTTCTGATGTTTTTGCTTAAAAAGTAATATTTTGTAATTGTAGAATTATCTTCTAGAAAACCAAATTAATTATCTACTCCTATATAATATCATGGCTTATAGTAGAACTAAAAACAGTTGGTGGTTTAATCATGTGTTGTTGAGAAATTAACCCACAACAATTTAGATGGTTTATCACTGAGGTCATCAAGCAGAAATGCTTAAAATGCGAATTATTTCTTTGTGTTGTGAATTCCTTTCGGTTTTGAACCCTTGGTTTGAGAATTGTTTGAAAAGATCAATTTGGACTTTAGAAATATATGACTATTTATTACTATTTTATAGATTGAAGGATTCATCAGGTAATAACCAGCAAATGAATCAATAATGAAAATGATGGTGGTTACATTGTTTGTGTTTCTAAATTATTTGATATAAGTAATGTGAAGTCATAGAATTACTCTGAAAAGATAGGCAGCTAGTGCTGTTAGTTAGAGAGGGTTTTCTTCAGTGCTGAGTGTGTGTGTTTTTTTTTTTGTTTTTTTTTTTTTACTAAGATTGTTTTTGACCACATGATGACCACTGCTGGGCTGCTCTGGTTATGAATTTAATTACTTCCTCATCCCTCATAAGGAGAGCTCACTTTCCTGTTCTTTTCAAAGACAGAAGAACAGCAAAAGATTAAGTTAAAATAAGGGCAAAAAATAAGATCAGTTTTGTCTTGGTGTGCTAAACACCCCATTTAGTTTTGTCACCATCTTTATTTAAGTGTATAGTTATAATTAACTTTTTTTGCATGTGCATATGTGCCCCTCTTGAGGTTTAGAGGGGCCCAAATTGATGTGTGGTCAGTTAATTTCCTCCTTGGCTTGGAAGTGGAAATTAAGGGAGGATGGGTGCTGTTTGGGTTAGATCTGGAGAGAGTACGAGGCGTGGTGTGGGAGAAGCTCTCTTGTAATTTCTCAGTGGGGCCAGGGATGTATGCCATGTTGTGGTGAGATAAGGGGGTAGGCTTTAGCTCAGTGTTGAGTGTTGTCCAAAGCGCTGCAAGCATTGGCTGTGAGTGTGGGACAGGACTGAAACCATGTGGGTGTCTGTAAGCAGCACAGCAATGGCACAGGCAACTTTGGCAGGGTACATGAGTCAGGAGGACCTAGAGGCTAAGAGGCTGTCATTCAGTAAGCATCCTTCCTGATGAAGTATCCTTGAGTAAGACATCAAGCACTGACTCTACACCCTAGCCTCTGTGAATGTGCAAGGAAAAAGAGAATTTTAATGTTGCAAAACTCTTCTCTCAACATTTTTGGCTGTCATGCTTTTATCAGGCTGGTGCAAGATAACCACAAAAGTTTGTTGAGAAATTGGGATTGGTGGGCAGTGTATCATTATTTCTTTATTTTTTTTGTAATTTATTACTGCATGTATACTGCATGTAAAAATGTATTTATTACTACTGTTGCATTTCTTGTAATCAAATTTCTGAGATTCTAAAGAATGCCAGCTGACTGGAATGTAATCTTTTTACATATATAAAGAAAGATTGTGAAATCCTGATTCATCACTTAATGTTCAGCTCAGCAACACTCAGGCAAAAACAGCTGTCGCCATCCGACGGCAGTTTGACTGCTTGTTGCCGAGGTCACAGCACAGTGGCTATAATATCACAGTGAGGCAGGTGATCTTAAAAACAGGTGTTGCTGAGCTTTAAAACCGCCTGACTTGTAAAAGTATAGCCTAAGTGAATACAGCCATTAAACATCTGTAGCTGTCCCCACCAAGATAAATTTCGGTTTCGGTCATGTGTCCATGTGAGACATGTCTGCTATTTCCAGCTTCCTCTCAGGAATTTTGCTGTGGTCAGCAGCAGCAGCAGGGGTGTTTTTTCCCACAGGGACATCATTGGCCAATCTTCCATCTCTTTTGTCTCCCTTTGAACTGTTGTACAGCGGCGATAATGTCTCCCTCAACCTTCTCTTCTTCACATCTTCCCGTGTCTTGTCTCTATAATTTAAGGTTGAAAATGCTGATGCAACTGTGTGAAATGCGAGCTATCTCTTTGAGTGGTGCCTTTACTATCAGTTGATGCACAGTAAAGCTGTGGCTGGTAATGCCGTGATATTGTGTGCAGATCTGTATGACTGAACTCTCACTCAAGTAAACAATGCACTGTGAAGTGAAAGAGGCCTCAGGGTAAACACCATACCTGTTGATCTCAGACTGCCCTGTATTTTGACTATCTTCACATTCTTGTTTGGTCTGTTTCCTTTGGTTGTTTTTGTGACACTCATTGTCTGGACAGGATTGTTTCATTTCTGCCTTTTGTGTTTCAGCTCTTGACTGTACCTCAGTTCCTTTTTGTCTATTGTTTCCATTTTCTCTTTTCCCTTCAGTGGACCAAGGTCTCTCTCTGTTGGTTGTAGCTAGGGGCTATATTTGCCAAGAGAGAAGCAAAGACCTCCCTTTGTGTTGTGGAAACAGAGCAGTGATACATTTTTGGTGTGTGTATACAGCTGCCTAGCTAAATAGACAATAGAAGAGCTGTCACTCACAGTATAAGGTGAAATTGAAGTAAGCCTTGGTCTCGAGCTTGGGCCAACTTTACTTGTGTGTGAGAAATATACTTTCTTGTATCTTACTGTTCTAACGTTTTTGTTTTACCTTTCCCTCTTTTTTTCATGTTTTCCCTCTGCTGGTTTCTCCTCACTACGTTCAACACAAAGCGTTGTTGTAATTTGAGATAAGAGGGTGTGTCCTCAGTTTCGTCTGAGCTGTTTGTCGTGATTCGTCGTGGTCAACTTTATGCAGCGGGCACTGTCATTTAGCTCTAACGAACAGGAAGTTCCCTTAGGTTGAAAGCAGCCAGCTACAGAATAGCATACAGAGGAAAATCAGAATGTACTTAAGTAAGGTAGGGCAGGGAATAAAGATAAATGCATAAGACACCATGAATGAATGAGCAACCACACTGATGGGTTTGAATCAACCTGATGTTTATACTCCCACTGATGCAGTCACTGAGATTTTTATGCCTCTGTCTTCCCTTGAAGTTGTTTTGACAGTGCTCATCTCAGTTGTGAGTCATGTCTGTCTGTGCTGCCATATTTTTCCCACTAAAAACTGTTTGCTCTTGGATGTGTGTTTTTTTTTTTCCACTACTGATAAACATAAAGTCAACATCTTATATCAGCTGATGAAAGTTTTTCCCTCTGTTCAAACTTTGGGAGGGAAATCTATGTCAGCCACAGCAGGAACACATTGTTTCTGTAGCCTGGTGCCAAATGCTGCTGTCACAAGTGCCAATTGTACCAGTCGTATTCATTTATTTATTTTTAGGTTTTTCTTAAGGTATTCCATCCATATCTTTTTGGATGATAATGTCCTCGCTTCCCAACCTGTGGTGTGTTGTTGACACATCTGCTTGGTTGGAGGAGAAAACCCTTAACTGGCTCTCTATCTGTCTACCCCCTCCCTGATTCTCCTTTGCTGTGCTTACTGCGATGTAGTGAGTGACCTATTTTTGCGAACGGTCTGTTGCGTAAGTAGTTGTCTCTGTGTGGGTACATGCTAGTGGTGTTTACCCCTGCGTGTTTGATTCAGTTTCCTGTTTCGTACAAGCACTTTGATTCTTCTCATCGGTGCTGCTTTGAGGATAATAAGGCGGTAGAGAATGGAGGAGGGAAAAACATGGTAATTATCATCAATGCTCACAGTCATAGTCACAGATGTGGCTTTAGGATTGTCTACATAAAGGACTGCATCACATTTGTTGATTAAGCATCCCGCTGTAGGTCAGAGACCTTGCTGAACAAGCCAAGGTCACACAGACTAATTCTGTCTCTGCAACTACTTGCTTTATTTTGAATAGCATTTTTATTCATTTCCTGAGGGTATTCTAAGTGCTTTGTCCTGTCCATCCTGTGTGTGCGTGTGTTTGTGTTTGCTTGTGTGTGTGTGTGTGTGCACTTTGAGCAATATCGTCTTTCTACTGACCCCTAGAACAGCTGGAAAGTAGTGGAGCATTGGGGTGTGAGTGATTTAGGGTAAAGGGCAGCTGATGATAACAAAGAAAGGGTGAAAAGGAGAACATAAGAAGAAGAACGACAAGAGACGACAACAATAAGTCTCCAAGTAACAGGGTGGGGGAGGATGGAGGAAATGAGATGAAGAGAGTGAAACAGAGCTTCAGGCTGAGTGAGGAAGAGATGAGTCTTTGTCTCTTGAGAGTCTCAGTCACAGTGTAGTGAGTGTTGGTGGAGGCTTGTGAAAGTCTGCTTAATTTAACTCTAGGCCGGGGCATACCTCGCAAGTAGCTTTTGAATAGTTCCCTGGTATGCAATAGAATGGGATGATGATCTTTGGGACGGGGTGGCTACAGCAGTATGACAAGCTAGTGGGGGGTTGCTGTTGATATTGAAGTAGGGGTGTACGCTGCAGGCACGCCGACCACCTGCTGACATGCTGGTGGGGCAGGCGGGCAGTGGAGGAGGGGGCTGGGTGGATGGCCCATGAAGTGGGTAGGGTCAGAGTTTGTTACCATGGATATTCTTTTTGTATCTGTGTGTGGTGGAATTCCACAAGACAATTTTCCTCTCATGACTCCCCCTCCCTCTGTCAGTTCTGCAGAGTTCGCTGTTGGGCCCCCTCACTGTGTGCAGTCTGCTGGTGAAACACCCCCTAACTAATGAAATCTAAACATCCTCACAGCTTAAATCGTCCTGTTTTTCCCTGCTTACTTTCGGTCTGTTGTGGTTAATTAATCGGCCATTGAGAGAGACATGTGGTTGCAGCAGAGACAAAGGAAACGGCTTATCCTGTTAAGCTGTGTGTGGTGCAATAGAGCACAGGGGCCACATTAATCAAACTTGGTTTAGATTCAAGGCTAGAAGTCTGTGTGTGCAGAAATATGTAGCCTTGGGGGCAGAATGTCAAAGCTTTTAATGCTCACTCTTCCAGGGTATCTCAAGCATTGGTAAATTGTGTGCACGTGTATGAGCTTGATCCCTACTCCCGCAATTATCCGTGAATGAAAATTGAAACATTCATGTTGGATCCTGATTGGGAATAAACTGGTCTCATTCTGTGTTTGATCAGGCATCAAAGTATCAAAGAAGTCTTTGTGTTTGCTGCCCACAAATGTTACCCAGATAGCACGAGGAGGTCAAATTCATAATTTGACCTATTTTACTGCTGTTCTTATTTCTGCATTACAATGTGGGTAAAGGAACAACATGTGAACCTTACGCTGATTATGAACACATGAACACTGAGAATGAACTCTTTCAAAACAAGTCACAACATTAAAACCAGTTGCCTGTTTCAATGCCGAGGCTGATCGGTGTATGTGTTGACCTTTTTGCTCATGCTTGAATAAAGTGTGGGAAGGGATTCGCTGTTCGTCCCAAGGACACTATAGCAAGACTGATGCAATACTGTTGCAAGGGCTTGAAGCCAGATTTTCAGACGAAGGGTCCCTTTCTTAGTATGGTTCCCCACTTGTTGATTTCTCATCCAAAACGTGCAGATACTTGTTTTGTTCTTTATTTATTTAAGGTTTACGATCCTGATTCATAGGTGGTCACAAGATGTGGCAAAATGATGAGGTTTAAAATTCGTTATGATCAGTCTACCCTCCATGAGATGAGACATAAAAGGTGGAGATGATCGTTGCAGTGCTTTTACTGACTCTTAATAATTCTCACAAATTCCAAAAAATCTTGTAAAAAGAACAACAGACACAGTGGTGCATTCTCGGCTCCCAGAGAGAATTGAGTGGCAATATTATTGGGTTTGGTTTCACATGTTTAAAGAACTATCAGAACAACACCACACACAGCTTGCAGCAAAAAGCTAGGTCATTAGAATCCATTCCTCAGTTGAGGCAAAAACTATTAAGTGGGCCACATAGAAAAGACTGGCAGAGAAACCTCCTGGCGGAGAAAGCAGGGAAGGAGAGGCATGCATTTGGATAGGGATGTAGCTTGATCCTGACCATGTGCCTGTGTGGATCCACTAGTCTGCAGCATACCACACATTACTGGCATCTGGAGCGGAACGCAACACATCAGACAATGTTGTACACTGGCTTTACCACATCAGTACACCCAGATCCCGGCTTAGGACACACACTCAGATAAGGGCTAAGATTACTGTTATGACTGAAAGGCAAATTGAATGGATGTTGCCAGTATGCATGACCAGGTTTGGAGAAAAAAAATGTATTAATGACGAGAGGATCTATATACAGTAGGAATTGTCAGAATACATTTGAGCTACAAAGTTGGGCATCTCCAGTTCAAGTGCGTCTGGGAACCTTTGTTGCATGTTATTCCCCCTGTAGCTCTACTCTCATTTCCTGTCTGTTGATACTGTTCCCTATTTAATACAAACAAAAATGCCCCAAAAATATTATGAAGAAAACAAAATTGAGTTACAAGGTGCATACAGGAAAGTACAGTAAGGAGATACAAAGACAGCTGTGCAAAGACACTGATTAACTAAATACACCCGTAGAAGAGGAACTGTTTTATCGACATACACTAGTGCAGTACTTAAAAGTAACATTGTGATATACACAAGTTGATACCTCCTTTGAAGTAACTGTGGCTTTTAGTCTGGTACAACTTTCGTGAGATGTGTCAGTCCACAGCCATGACACCATCAAATTGATGGGTTGTACCTCTCACTTAATGCTGTAATTACAGTGCGTGAAGAGAGGTTACCTGCCGCGCAGAAAGACTCAAGCCATGGTCAGACTATCCTTGGTATGTGACCTACAGTAGCACCCTCACACTTGCAAAGTCAGTGTCGCATCCCATAAGGGGAGAACATACAAAGGAAGATGGTGCGTGTAAGCCATCCAGCAGTGGAGCACTAATGCTCCACAGTGTACCACACCTTTCACCATAGTGTGTGCAGTCTGAGGGGTAGGAGGCTTAGACAAGCAGGGTGGGGTGGCTGGCTACAGAACGTTGTTATACTTTAAGTATAGAGCTTCCTCTTTCCTAAATAGAACACAGGGCCTGTCTTCATGAGACTGTCCTCCTCCTATATGAGGGCCTGTCAAAAGAAACAGAGTAGGCCTCTGTGTGTGTGTGTGTGTGTGTTGTGTTGTGTGTGTGTGTGTGTGTGTGTGTGTGTGTGTGTGTGTGTGTGTGTGTGTGTGTGTGTGTGTGTGTTTTCAAACAAGAGAGATCACTGTCTGCACTGACCAAGAGTTGCCTCTGTGAAGGAGGGAAAGGGATTTGTCCCATGTGAAAGAAACCATGAATGAGCAAAGAGATAGCCAGGCAGTGTCTTCTATTGCAAAGTTTTCCTCTGTTCAGTATGTTGCCATAATTTTGTCCTCTGGCTCAGACCTGTGATAAGTAGTTTGTGTTGTAAGATTAAGAAGGCTGAAGGAAAGATAAAAATGAACCAGAAGGAATCTGACACTCCCATGCATAAAAGTTTGCCAAAATGGCTTCAACCTCTGAACATTCTTTAAGATAGCTGCTGTTAGAAATGTTGAAGAATGAAATGCCTAAACAGAATCGAATAGATTCATCTGAAAATTTAAATATAATTTTACTAGAAAAATAAGTAACAAGACAAGACAAAGTTGCATTAGTTTAGTCTCAGTTTGTCCCCATAGGATCAGGATATTCATACATTCGTTTTGATCTGTTTGTGCAGACAAAACAAATATTTGTGCTCACACCGTTTTTGAGAAATTAAATATTCAATTTTTAACCTAGAGCTCAGCACCCCATTAAGATCCCAATGACTCCGAAGTGGTGACTTGTTCATTTGCACATTGTTTGTGCATGATTCTGAAAGCAAAACAAAAATAAAAATACAAAAAATAATAATAAAATACAACAAATACATAAGTAGTATTTTACTACTACGTTTGTATATTCTGTACACAGTGCATGTTTGTCCATCCTGGAAGAGAGAATTTCCCTCTTCCTCTAATAGATTCCCTTTTTTTCCTGTAAAAGTTTTTTTCTTCTTTTTTGTGGAGGTTGCCTTGACTGAATCAAGGGTCCTGGTATATAGGGGGGTTTGTTATTCAGATTGTGATTTGGCTTTAGAAATAAAATTTGACTTTGTTTGACTCCGGTAGGTCTGTTAAACATTGCACAATCCCCTGTATAATCTTCAGTGTTTGTGTATCTTGACTCCCAAGCTGTAGGTCAAATCAAATGTCAAACTATCTTTCTGTTGTTTTGGATTATCACTAAAACGACCATATGATTTTTTTTCCCCCCCTTTATCTCTATCTCTGTATCTATTTTTATTTTTTGTCCACTGCTCTCTTTATCTATATTTTCAATGTTCCAAAACAATTTTGATGTAAATAGTAAATATTTGAACTTCAGCCAAATGCATGTTGGTCTTATGATACTTGGGAAATTTTCTTTTGCCTCATTTGCTTCCTTCCAGGAAAGTCAAAGTGCAGGCTCAGCAGCTGACAGGAATGGCTGCAAAAAGAGCACTTAAACTCTGGTCCTCCTTTACCCAAGTGCCCCTTAAATGCATTATGTCTGTACCAGATGGCTCATGATGGTGTGGAAAATCATGAATCTGATACAGTAATGTTTTACTCATCTCTCCCTCTTAATTTTTCTCTGTGTGCAGCTGGCCTGCTGCTGCGGCTCAGCAGCCTGCTCGTGCTGCTGTAACTGCTGCCCCAAGATCAAACAGTCCACGGGGACCCGATTCATGTACGCCCTCTACTTCCTGTTGGTCACCATCATCTGTGTCATCATGATGTCCCCCACTGTGGAGCAGGAGTTGAGAGACAATGTGAGTACATAAATCACACATTTTAATGTATCTCACCCCCAAAACACACATGCATAGAATACACTCAATCTCAAACAAAACTACCTTCTTTTTTTTTTTTTAAACAAGATCCTAGATTACACCAACAAAATAGTGTTGTGAGGGAATTTTGCTTCTGAGCTATGTGTCACTGAGTGATTGAGGGTGAAAGGTCAGCCTGAAGGCCCTTGGTCTGCCTAACACTGATACTGACTGATACTGTCTGGAGGAGACGCCTGTGCGTCTCCTCCAGACACATCTGTGAGTTCTGCTGATACTGAGGAAGCTACGACAGATAATGCACGACCTTGGATGTCCAGCAACAAGTGGATGACATTCTAGGCCTTGCACCTGGGCATGCGTAAATCAAGTTTGCTAATTTATGGTTAACGAACCAATAGAATGTTCACACATCCCTCTCTTCCCACTTCTGTTAGATATTATACCAAATATTGAGAGTAGATTATGGCATTCTTTAGAGCTACTTAAAGGAAAGATCAGAGACTCTCGTCAGAATTGAGGTGACATCATGCACATTTGCTTGTATTGATGATTCCTCCGTTCTCCTCGGCCGAGCTCAATAAACATCTTCAGCGTAAGACATCCAGGGCTCCAGTGGTCTTTCCTTTTCTGAAATCCTCAGCCATCGATGATGATTTTCTCCCTAACAAGTGTCACTTGATCATGTAAAGGTCCACTCAGTATGTGAATGTGGGTTTTTTAACTGTTTAAATCACAGGTATATTTACATATATAATGGAAGAGTTTGTATATGGTTGAAAGTATTACTCATAAGAAGGTAGGGGGGAAATAACAGCACAGAAAAAAAACTATAGCTCTCATCTTTGCTCCATAACAACTTCATTTTCAGTGGAGAGTAAGTGGAGTCTTTTAGAACTCTCACTCCTAAGCCTCTAAGAAATAAGTGCTTCCATCGCATAGTGATGATATATCAGAAATAAAACTCAGGTGTGAGGCCATGATTTCTGGTGTGCAACTGTGTAGGTAGCAGTATGGCTGGTGACATCTTGGAGTGTTATGGGCTGACACACAGTAAAGTTACTGGGCTGATTATTTGGGCATCAACAGTTGGACAAAGTCTTGCCCAGTTGCTCTTAAGAGCAGGGAGATAGCCAGTCACTTGTCAGCTAGTTGTTCTTAACAACGTTATTTTAAAAAGATTAGATTTTTTACAACTAAAACCTGACCTGCTGTCATCACAGTGAGAGAAGGACCATCACCTCAGGCTAACAATGTTCACTTCTTTTCAGCACTGAGGACTTTGCAGGCATTCAGCATATATTGTCTTTCCCATTAATCAGTTCACCTAAATTAGGTTTTTTCATCTATGTCTTTGCATTTCTTGTGCAAAGTGCAGCATAGGTGAGAACGGAAAATTGATTCCTAATGGATTTTCATGCCTGTTTTTGTATAAAAACAAATGAGAATTTGTGCTGTCTTTGGATTCAAGGAAAGGGATTGCTTGTGACACAACTCTTATGTCCACTTGTGAAATATTTTGTTAAATATCTTACAGACTGTCAAGACCAAAAAAAAATCTTTGTTCGTTCAGAAATAAGTAATGTCTGTATTGCCTAGTCTTTGTAAGTTTTAATAATTTTTTTCGTCTGTTCCTAGCTATTAAGACTTGGTGGTCTAGTTTACTGAATAGAAGAGTGGGAATTGGCTCAGTGGCTCTAGTTACCAAGCCAACAGTAGCCTCAATACTATGACCTTTTCCACTGTTTGACCTACTGCTACGCCTGTACAACCCTAACCCCCCCCAAGCTTTGATTCACACATTTTAACTACAGTTAAGTACATAAAATGAGGTCATTTGACAGAAAAGTGAAGTGATAGAAATACATACTGACATGGAGCAGAGGGGAAAGGAAGACTCTCCGCACACATTTTGAAATGGATGTTGTCAGTTGAGCCAACTTTAGTGTTCTGCTTTTCGCTATAAATACAATAAAATTTCAGAGTGTACCAGCATCATCTTGCCAGTGCTAATAGGCAAGATTAAAGATTTATAGAATTGCTACAGGCAAAGCAAACATCCCACTATCTTACCTGTGGATCCCACGAGTATCTACACAGTAGTAAGGTCATAGTCTAAGTGGCAGGAGTTCAGGCTGGCAGCTTTTTGTTTTTTACCGCCCACCTAGCCTCTGAAGTTCCAGAAGTTACACAGGAGAGAGCTGCTGCTCTCTTTTTTGATCTGCAGCATTCATCTTGTTTCTTTTCTCATGTTACCTCTTTGAATCAGCACGATGCAGGATTATTATCAGACTGACTTCCTGTGGTTGTTCAGAATGCTTCAATGGGTGCAGTTAACTACCCCCCTCAATCGGGTGAGTCAGACTGTAGTCATAGTCTGGCAGAATGTCTGAGATGAAGTCCTGATACATCGCTTTCTCAACCCTTTGTCTGCATTTATATTTATAGCTGAATATACAGTATATAAATAAATATATATATATACGTATATATACACACATTTGAGAAGTGATGTTTCTGTTTCTAGGTGTCATACAGTATGTGCAGGTGAATACATGTACACTCAAACACTGAGTAAACAGAAAATAATGATGTTACTGGGAAGAGTACCTTTGACTGACTGTGTTGCCATGGCAATGACTGCAAGCTTCCTCAACTGAAAGCGTATTTGAAGACAGTGATATTTTTTCCACCAATCTTCTTCTGCTGTTTTTTCTTCTGCCTTTCTCTGCCAGTGTCTACAGCACAATATTAAAACGACTCCCCACTGTGTGTCTCCTTGTGAGAGCGGAACCTTGTAAGAGGCCCATCCCGGCACAAAATGGCCTCTGATAGCCCCACGCAAAGCCTGCTGAGTTACACACACATACATACACATATACACACACACTGTCAGTCACACACTGAGCACAGTGGGAAGTCTGAGCTAAGAGAGCAGCCATTGTGCGTATGAGAGTGCTGGTCTTTTCTCAAGAGATTTACAGCAGTCTCAACCAGTCGGCCCCTTTCCCTCTTAATCACAACACCATGGACATGCTAATATGGCCCTCAACATGAGACAAAAGTTCCAAAATGGGCTTTTTACTCTATGTTGTGATCTGGCTCCGGACTGTGCTACACACTGAGGAGATGACAACTCAATCTGCTGGCATGTCACCCATGCTACAACTTTAGGGAGCAAAGTACCCTGCCAAAAACTAGTAAAGCAAAGTCAAACCGTGTATTATCTGAAAGTAAAGATCTGTAGCTCTGTTTGAACTGTTGGGAAAAAAACACTTCTGTTTGAAAACCATTTGACTTTGACTCATATCTCTGCAAGGGGGTGGGGACAGGGGCATCAGTGAAGGGAACAGAAATTTGAGCCTTCAGTCTATGGTTATCAAATTCAGAGACTGTCTCTTCTGATGGCACTGCGCCACTGAAGCACTTCCAATTTTCTGTTGAAGGCCACAGCAAAGGACTTGACTACTTAACTCACCCCATGTTTGCTCTCTTGTTTTTTCCACAGGTCACTGTACTTCAAAATAATTTTTGAAACTTTATGTTAAGACGGATCTCCCGGTCTTTCCGTCTTGCTCGTGCTCCCTCTCCTTTCCCCTCTTCCCAGTCCCTCTGACTTGCTGACAAAAGGCAGTTAATTTATTCATCTATGTCTTTTGTTTGTGTACACTGACAGTTAGTTGTAAGGCCCCTCTAACAGCCTGTAGAGAACGAGGGATGAAAGAGGGCTTCATGGAGAGAAAGAGGGGTTGTTGTCACTGCCTGTTCTCTCTTTCTGCTCCTTTAGAGGCGTGACGCTTAGAATAGACACTATTGGGCCCTTTCTCTGAGGCCACGTACTAGACAAAAATAAGCAGAGGTGGGGGGGGGGTTTCTCAACATTATAATGATCTAATTTAAGTATTTTCTGTGTATTACCCTTGTCAATCAGATCCCCTTCTACGGCAAATTGTGTGAGAAACACAGTTTCTGCAAAACTATGGTTGGCTACTCCGCTGTCTACAAAATGTGCTTTGGCATGGCCTGCTTCTTCTTATTCTTCGCTCTCTTCACCATACGAGTCAACAACAGCACGGGCTGCAGGGCGGCCATACATAACGGGTAAGAAGGCCTCGCATCTTTATCTAAAGCCAAACACATTATAAACAAGCTGGTTTTCACTGAGGCTGGTCAATTCAGCATCTAAGAGAATTGAGCAATAAAATATTGAAAGAGTGTGCAAACAGCCTCTGGTTTTAATTGAGCGTCTCTTTGCTGCGCCTCAATCAATGTAACAGATGGTTTCTGAATAGTTCACTGAACATGAGTAAGACATAGAGATAAATATCAGCTATGTTAACCACCAGATCGTATTCTGCCTGAATATTTGTTATACTCCAAACTCTGTATCTGTATAGTCTCACTTCCTAAAACAATCAAAATTCTGCTTGAGGCTGAGGCTGTTCTGTCAGGAATAATTGTTTTGAATGTTATTATGCTGATTGATTGTTTGTATAACCGTTAACATTATCACTTCTCTAACTGTCAGGTTCTGGTTGCTGAAGTTTATTGTGCTGGTGGCGTGCTGCGTTGGAGGTTTCTTCCTGCCAGAGGAGAAAACATTTCTGGAAGGTAAAAATGGGGCACTTGACTCTAAAGCTGCAGTATTGTAAACTTTTTTTAAAATCTGGATGTAATAATATAATTTTTTTATTAACATATCATTAACATTATTCATCTCTGTGGTCACGAATCAAAAACTACACAGCAAGTAATAAAAAAAATAAAAAAAAGTGGATGTAACAAAAGACAAAATTAATGTCCCGCATCATCTGACCCAAATAAAATAACCCTGTTGATTTTTCTGTAGCTGGACTCTCACAGCTTGAGAGTGCTACTTACAGTAGTTACTGTATAAGCTGTCGTGCTGGTCTTGTCATCAATCAAACAATTTCTCAGTCTCTCTCTCTCTTTCTTTCTCTCTCTGTTCAATGCTACAGTGTGGCGCTACATAGGAGCCTTTGGTGGGTTCATTTTCCTGCTGATCCAGCTCATGCTGTTGGTGGAGTTTGCACACAGATGGAACACAAACTGGTGAGAACAACATGTCTCTCTGCTCCTGTCTCTTTCGTCTCCCACTTATTTTAAGTCTAGCTCATGTGAGCATGGACACCCTGTAAATGAGATCAATGCTGTGCTTTTTATTTGTTCTTGAGAAACTCAGAGGGTTGGATGTATTCCTCTGTGGGGTTATTTGGATGAAAAGAGTATGGAAAGAGGAAGTCATGCAGCTTTGTGTTTTGTGGGTGGAGGGGAGACCTGGCAGCAGGCCCTCCTTTGGAGATTCACAGGATGCATATGGTTTAGGAGTGTGCACTTGGTTTCCCATTTCTCTAACACACACACCACATTACCACAGCAGATTGTTTAAAAAACTTTAAATTATTTGGTCACCGGTTCAGTAAACTTGAACCTCACAATATGTATTGCTATATATACTTGCACTATTTAGTAAAACCTTAAATTTCCAGACCAAGTTAAGTGGATGTGAAAGCACTTAAGTAGCTATAAACCTGTCTTCTTGTCTCTGCAGGGGGCAGGAATAACCCACCAAACATAACTCTTTGTCTTTCTTTGAATCTTTCCTTAGGCTGATCTTCCCTATGTCTGTTTTCTTTGCTTTTTTCCCCTGTTCAATTGATCTTTTTTACTTTATATAATTTGCTTTACCCTTCTTCATGTTGTGTTTTGCCTTCTGCTTCCTCTTCCCCTCTCTCTCTCTCTCTCTCTCTCTCTCTATTTCAATCTGCAGGAGTTCAGGAGTAAAATATAACCGGGCGTGGTATGCTGCTCTGGCCTTTGTGACCCTGGTGCTGTTCAGTGTTGCAGTAGGAGCTGTGGTCTTCATGGCTGTATACTACACCCACCCTGAGGCCTGTTTACTGAACAAAATCTTCCTGGGCATCAATGGCAGCCTCTGCCTCATCATCTCCATGCTGGCCATCTCCCCATGCATACAGAAACGTGAGAAACCTGCACTCATAAGCACATTATCTCTTTTGACTGTGTAATGCAAGTAAGAATACAAGTATTTGCGTTACAGGTGTTGTTCATGGAAAGCCTCTTGGTTTATCACAGAGAGAAATTTATAAAAGGCAACAAATTTGAGACACAATAATCAAACATAGTATAATGATAGAAAGCAGTGATAAGTAAGACTTTCGGCTCGTAAATATATCCGCAACAACTCAGGAATCTCCGTCAGTATTGCCAGTGACATTAAAATGTTGTATTCACCTTTGTGTCCCTGCAGTGCAACCCACATCAGGCCTGTTGCAGCCAGCAGTCATCAGTGTGTACGTCATGTATCTCACCTTCTCAGCCTTCTCCAGCAAACCAAAAGAAAGTGAGTATGAAGTGTCACTGCCATTGTTTATGTTGGGTAAGGCTTATTAATGCTACAGCATTACGATACCATGTAAAACACAATGCTGTGACACAGTGACACATGTAGGAATGGGACACTTGTCAATGTAAATGAATATTGTGAATAAAATACATTTTAGATTTTATTACCCTAAACATTGCAACTATTAGTCATAACCAAAAGGATGAAGCCCCTCAAACTGCACACACTGTAGAGTAGACATATTTAAGTAGACATTTATTTCTTTGAAGTGACCTGCGTTTTTAATAATGTTTTAAGATTATCATTTATTTCGGTAATATTGATTTTCACTTTCTGTCACCACTGCTAACACTGCCAAAATACTCACACAACTTGCTGCATCTTTTGCAATCTCCCTATTCCTTATACTCCTAATACTCCCTCTGCTTCCTCCTTACCTCATCCATCTCTGTCTGCACATTCTTTCTCTCTAGTTCTGGAGAGAGATGGTGTGAACACAACCGTGTGTGTGTTCCCCTTCAACTCTGGGACGGAGAGCGACAAGAAGATTGTCACCATTGTGGGAACCGTTATCCTGTTTGGCTGTGTCCTTTACTCTTGGTAAGAGAGACAAACACACACACACACACACACACACACACACACACACACACACACACACATCTCTTGCTTCTCCTTTTTCCTCATCTCACTGTCTACATATACAAACCAATTTTCCCTGCAATATATCTCTGTTTAGTGTTATATCATTGAATTTATAGAGTGGGGAGATTATGCAAAGGCTAAAATCCCAACCCATTAACTGCAGTTCTGTTCTAGGCCATGTGGAATAAAAGTAATGTATTTTATGGCAGGCTGTAGCGACAGAGACAGGGTAGTTTTGATTGGCTGTGACTTCAGAGAGGCAGTGTATGATTGGCTGTCTCTGACCTAAGGGGGTGAGAGACAAGAACCGTGCCTTTTTGCATTTGTTCACATGTGTTTCCCATTAAGTGGAGGCATCATGTCTCTTGTGGTTGTTCCTTGAAGGAGAGGGAACTGCAAATTATTGGAAAAATACATAGTGACGGAATTACAACCTTTCTCTGTCTCCATCTGTCTTTATATTTCTTTCTCTATTTCTCTTTTTCCACACTCCCTCTAGCTTGACGTCCACCACCAGGCGAAGCTCTGCAGCGCTCAGGGTGTGTAGGAACAGTGAGCCAGAGACTGAGGTAAATGCACAAATATTCAGATCACACTGAGTGTGTGAGTTAATGAAATATGCAGACTGGTTTAACAGATAAACTTGAATATCCCACTGACCAGGCACTGCCAATTAGACGTCCTTATCAAATGAAACAGAGACCCAAGAGACATAAAGTCTGTGTGTCTATTTGTGTATGTCTTTTCAAATGTTTAATTCAAGCTTGGTGGTAACCTCTATGTTTCCTTTACCTTGCAGAGAGCTCGTTGCTGTTTCTGTTTTGGAGATGACACAGGTGAGGAAAGTCAAATCATTCCCCCCTTCACCAACACATCTTTATTTATCCCCCTCGCCTCTCCAGCCTGTTCAGTGTGTATGCATATGTCCCCAGCCTTAGTGTTTGCACACAGAGGGGCTATGCTCATTGCTATTCCTCAGCCAGATTGAGGATGGTGAGAAAGTATTGGTCAGCAAACACAGATGATGTCACTGTTACTAGGAGGTTAGTATGACACAGTGAAGCAGGCCCAGTGAGGAGATGGGATTGTGGGTAGGCTCACACCGCCACCTGCTGGAAATAAAACATAACAAAACAAATATAAACATAAGAAAAAATAACACCACTTATATGATACATATTTATTTATCTTAGAAATTAAATCAGTAAATGTGAATTGATTGAATGAAATTAATCAGCCCGGAATGGCATGGGACTTTATATCATATCTTTCCTCCAGTGTTGTAAGCATTTCACGCATTGAATGAGTCACTCACCCACATTCTCTTTGCATGATTTAACGTCTACTTTTCAGATGACTATGACGAGGAGAAGACTGGTGGGGGGCAGAATGTTGTGTATGATGAGAGAGAGGGAACTATTTATAGCTACTCCTACTTCCACTTTGTCTTCTTCCTGGGCTCCCTTTATGTCATGATGACCGTCACCAACTGGTTTCAGTAAGTGATACTAACTGTGACACACTGTCTGAATGTGCTGTGATTGCGTGTTTATGTGTACACAGTACTCCAGTTGTGGACAGTAGGTAATAGGCAATCGATCAGTCGATCAGTTAACCCGGAACTAAATTTAGACCCTGGTTCCTGCAGTAGAAACGTGCCTTTTGTCACCTTATCATATACAAAATAATCAGGTTAATAATCAATAATCAGGTATGCCTATTGGTACAGGTGGTCAGTGGTGTCTTAGTTGGATTACGATGGCACTGTTGTTTAATGGTGTTAAAATTAGAAATCAGTCCCAGTGTTTGTCTTCGTGCACTTCTCTCACTGTGTGCTTCTTTTGCAGTTACGATGACCATAAGATTGAGAAGCTGTTGGAGGGGAGCTGGTCAGTGTTCTGGATCAAGATGGCCTCCTGCTGGGTCTGTCTCATCTTCTACTTCTGGACCCTCATTGCTCCTATGGTCTGCCCAAAGCGTTTTGAGGCCTAGGATGCACATCACTTCACTAGGATCAGGCTGCTCTGATTCTTGGGATGTAGGTAGGCAGAAGCTGGCACGCCGAGCCAAGGGACCACCACAACCCCCCCTTTACATTAAAACACAGCCCGACACTACACTCAGCGTTGGAAATGGAGAATTATCTGTTGCCTTTTGTTTTATATGCTAGTGTTTGTTTTACGTTTTTTGACAATGTTAAGCTGTTAATACCTTGATGGTAATTTTTTTTTATTCTTTACTACCACTGATTCCTGGAGTTTTGTATGACTTACAGGTGTGAAATTACAGAGAGAATCATGGGAGGTGAATTACATTGTGAAGCATCCAGTCCCTGTAGATTCACTGGTAATGTCAGACTTGAAAGTGTATTTTGTAAGTGTTTCCTTTGTGTGTCAGTTTTTCTCGGATTCTCGCTTTTACTCTCAGCCAGGCATTTCAGTTCTGTACAGTTGGACCATAAAGTTGTAGCAAAGTTTTAGGACAAATCTATTTCAAGTTAAGAGATGTTACAAGAGAACCTGTATTTATTCAAGTGTGTCTTAAGAAAATGAAAGAAGGAATGTGGTGCCAGTTGAATTAGATTTGGCCCTGACTCTGTTTAAAAACTCATCTCTCAGGCTCACATGTAAGCTGTATATGATTATGCTTTGTTATATTGTCCCCTTTTGTAGAAGTTTTCTATGCAAAGGAGCAAGCTCTTTTCAATATTAGATATCACAGTGTTGTGAAGTTTCCATATAGATCACAAGGATAAAGTTTCAGATTTTATTAATGTCAGTGCTCCCTTTGAGCCACTTCTTTTCTTAGTAAAATCCATATCATACAAACAATATTTTGAGTCATTGGTGTACGGGGCAGTGCTCTTCAAATCAACCTGCCTTACGTTAGAGTGGACATTGGTCTCTGGAAGAGCTCAGTGACACAGATGAGGAATGTTTGCCAAAGGTAGATGTCAGAAAACAACAATCTTCTCTATCAGATTGTTTGGTCTGTTACAGAAAAAAATATAACGTAGAACATTATGTATTTGCATGCACACACAGACACTCAAGCTGTTTACCTGTTTTCTGTACAGTCATAAAGGCTTTTTGCCTTGTCTTTGTTACAGTCAGCTCATAATGATGGTCAGAATAAGGTCACGTGAGTGCTTTTATTAGTACGTTTTTCAACACTGGATGTTGAGTTTAATGCCGAATTCAAATTCAGACAAAGACCTTCACCTGTATGTTACCTGTGAAACTGATTTTTTTTTTTTAATATTGTATACAGATACAATATATTGCACATTGTCATCTGCAAGTCCTTTTATGTTTCTCACTCATCAATAAACCAGTACATTGTTTTGTCTAAATGTATTCCTAACATGTTTTATAACACCTGACGTGTACATTTTGGCTAAAGTTCTGTGATCTGTGGAAATCTTTTTATTTGACTTATGCTTTATATACCTGCAATCTGTCATGTGACTTATCTTTTTTTTTGGAAATAGTTCTGCATTTGAATTATTGGCATGAATGTAGAAATTAAATGGTGCTCAGCAGCTTTGACATCAAGCGACTAAACTGAAAATTAGGCAACAGGACCCACCATGAAGGCTGTATGAAGCCACAACCTTCAGAAACACTTTTTGACCAAGTTGTATGTTTGAAATCTGGAGATGTGGGTGCCAAGCAGTTCACACTGTTGGCACTTCCAATAAACCATCCATTGAACGCCATGTGGTGTCTTTATTTGCTAATGTAGTTTTCCTTCATACTGATAAATATGAAGAATGTNATGTTTGAAATCTGGAGATGTGGGTGCCAAGCAGTTCACACTGTTGGCACTTCCAATAAACCATCCATTGAACGCCATGTGGTGTCTTTATTTGCTAATGTAGTTTTCCTTCATACTGATAAATATGAAGAATGTAAAAAAAAAAAAAAAAAAAGATATTTTGTGATTGCTCAGGGCTTTATTGTACTTGCAATATATTCAAAAACAGTATTGCCTCTTTAACAGTACTCATAAAATGCTGATAAAACCGAAGGAGATATTGCATAAACATACACAGAACCTGCTGATTTATACAAGAATATACTGACTTCAGTCGCACTGAATTAAAGATAAGTATATAATGCCCATTGTTATGCTTTCCTAAGACCCTGCTGCTCTAATGACAAAGTTAAAATACCATCATGTTCCCACATTTATCCATTTTTCTCTAACGAATGTTCTCTACCGCTCTGGCTTCATTCTGTGTTCTGGGCGCTGAGATCCTGGTAGTCGACAGGAATAGTGTCTGTGGGGGTGAGAAACAGAAAGAAACTCAAAAGCGTACTCAAAGCATATGTAGCTGACTGGATTGCCTTTTTACTTGCAGATACTCACCGTTGCAACGATACTTCAAATTGGACCAGATGATATTTTCCTGAGAGAAGCAGAACACTCCCAGTCGCCCTCCTCTCATACTGGTGTCAATTATCACCCCTGTGTCCGCCACCAGGTTCGAACCCTCAAAAAAGCGAGCCCTGTTCCACACACGAGGTGAAACCAGTTAGTCAGTTCGCACAGTATGAGTGTGTATGCGTCCGAGTGACGGTGTGTGTCTGTCTGTACCTGATGTATCCAACCTGTGGCCTGTGCTGGAGGACCCAGCGGTAGGAAACCTTGTCCTTCCAGCCGACGTTCCTGGGGTCCTTCCACAGGAGGCGGACCTGCCCCTTGGTGTCTCCTGTGTGCCAGAGGGAATTCCTCAGATGCTCACCTGGACCCGTCTCAGACTTCACCATCTGGTGGTGAAGAGCCACAAAAGATGAGAGAGGGGAACAACTGATACTGGAATAGATGATGACAATAAACACACTTCCCCCCCACACCTTGAGTTGTATTCCCGGCTCAGCCACGGCTCTGAAGGGAGCAGCCTGCCAGTAGGTTTGTTCCGTCTGTTTCCACATCACCACGTAGAATGAGGAGGAGTCCTGGTAGCCGAAGATGAAGCCAGCGTAGTCATCATCTGTCACCGTGTTCACGTGGAACGTTCCCTCAAAGTCGACCCCACTGAACGCTTTGTAGCCTGTAGATGTGGACAGTGGAGAAGAAACATACAACAGCACTGGTTAGAGAAGGACATGCTGAGGAAAATGGGAAATAATCTAAAGTTATAACAGAAGAAGATGTGAAAGTATGAGGGTAGTCTCTACTTACCTACAGCAAGGCCCGGGTCAGAGTTCATGGTCTGGACTATCTCCATACCCTGTCAGCACAAGAGAGAGTTTACTCAATTTATTTGTGCTGTCACTGGGAAGAAAACCCCAGGAACAAGTCTGAGCTTTACACAGAGTGATAAAATAAAATGCTTTTGTAGATAAACCCACTGCATTACAGACGCTTCTGAAACAAGTGGCTAGCTCAGAAAGGTGTTGTGTTGTTCACCTGGTTGAGAACCACCCAGTTGGGGTCGATCTGGGAGTCTCCCTCTGGGTCCAGCACCACAGTCTGATAGGCTCTGAAGTCGGTCAGGGTGACCTCAGCATTCTCTGGGCAGTGGTCGATTTTGTCTATGATATTGTCTTTGTCAAAGTCTCCTTCGCATGCGTCTCCAATGTTGTTGTCTGAAATACAAGGACACAGCAAATTACTGCACATGCACGTGCGCACGCAGGAACAAACAGCAAATGATACTCACTATCAGAGTCCTTTTGATCTTTGTTGGGAACTAGTCTGCAGTTGTCATTATCATCCAGTATGCCGTCATTATCATCGTCATCGTCACATTCATCTCCCTACCAAAATAAAGTGAGACATTTGGAGCAGTGTAAACACAGAGCTGTCTATGGGTCAGCATGCATGAGATGGATTCATGATATGTGATTCATTAAATAAATGAAGTAAAGGATGAAGGAAGAGATAGTTTAGAACCATTCCATCCTTGTCAGTGTCCAGCTGAGAGGAGTTGATGATAGTGGGACAGTTGTCCTTCGTGTTCTGGTGGCCGTCCCCATCACTGCCAAAGAAAAAGAAGGGCCGGTCAAATAAATGACAAAATATTATAAAGCTTTACATCCATTTATACCACAGGTCTCGATAGTGTAGCTCTACCTGTCTATGTTGTCATCACAGGTATCTCCTACAAGGTCGTCATCTGAGTCGGACTGCAGGTGGACAAGACGGACACTGTTGATCAGAGTTATGGCAGCAGATGAATCTTTTTCAGGTTGTTGTTTTGGTTTGTTACCTGGTTGGGATTGGCCATATCAGGACAGCTGTCACAGGCGTCTCCCACCCCGTCATGGTCTCTGTCTCTCTGGTCTGGGTTGGGGACTCGCTGGCAGTTGTCAAGAATATTATTGAAGCCTGAGAACATAAACACCAGAGAGCTTTAATTTCTACTTCGTGTGTAAAGGCAGTGACAGAAAAAATAAAAAAAACACACAGCCTACAGACACACTCTGTCAAATGCATCAGCAGATGGCAGTGTTTGTTAAAGAGGAAGGTGAAATAGTTTCCAGTGGCCTTCAATGCCTGGCAAAGGCTTACCATGGAAAAATGCTTTGAGAGAGGAGACAGACATGACCAAACACTGAGTAATCCAGCCTTAGGAGTTAAAGACATAACCAAATGATCAAGAGGTTGGAGCTCTGCCAAACTCAATGAACAGCGGCCGCCGAACAGAGCCTAAACACGCAACACGCGTCAGCATATAAAGGTAAACATGCGGGCACACTCAAAGGCAAGAAGTTAAAACTGTTTCCATTGGAACAAATGAGAAGTGTTTAAAAAAGGGCAATCAGTGAGAGCTGAGTGTGTGAGAAACGTTTGTGAAACAACACTTACGATTCCAGTTGGAACATTTTAACATTTAACATGGTTTTCTACTGGGGTTTTAAAGTTTTTTGTCCAGACAGACGCAGTAGTCTTTTGCTGCAATTATCAGTTATTAACATGTTTCTAAAGTTATTACCTCTAAATGATGCAATAAAAGCAGTTATGGTCCAGTTACCTCCGATACCTCCAATAATAATGACCATCCAACTTTTTTTCAGCCACTGTGACCAGTTACAAAAACGACAGTTGTTGCAACGTGTCCCTCTCGTTACACCCCGTGATGTCAAATAAAACTATGAGAATATAATAATCATCTGACTGTTAAATACTAATAAATACACTCACCGTCCCCATCCATGTCATCATCACATTCATCTCCCAGCCCGTCCTGGTCTGTATCTCTCTGTGAGGGATTGTCTATTATTCTGCAGTTGTCACATGCGTCACCATGGAGATCCTTATCGCTGTTCCTCTGGTCCACGTTAGGAACAAGCCAGCAGTTATCCTGGGACAAAAAAAAAAAGAGTTTTGCTGTATAGCACATAGGCCTGAGGCACTGAATAGACTTAAATTCCTATTTATAAGATTTGTGAGAGTCCGCTGTATGCGGGACCTGTGGTCACCTACATCTATGTTAATAATGCCGTCATTGTCTGCATCATCATCACAGGCGTCACCCTTCCCATCCCTGTCTGCGTCCTCTTGGCCAGAGTTTGGCACAAACACACAGTTGTCCTGGAAACCACACAGGTAAACACATACACACACACACACACACACATCTTTTAGTTTTAATGCTACATTTAATTAAATGCAAGAGAGGACAGGGGATGTAGACATGAGTACCTGCTTACAGTTGTTGTCTCTGCACTGGAGATTATTGTCAGGATATGCATCAATATCTGTGTCCTTTCCACACGCGTAGCCATTACCTGCCCAACCAATGCCACACTAAACAACACCGACACACACATGGGGGGAAAAGACATGGCATGACATTTCATGTAAACAGTCCAATGTGGAACAACGCAACAGTGATTCATAAAGCTGAATAAACTGGCAGTATTTTCAGAATCATTATTACCATACAGGTAATGCTGCCATCTCGCTCCACGACACACTCAGCGTTGGGGTCACAGGGGTTGGGTTGACCGTTGGGGCAAAGCCTGGTGCCATGGCAGCCTCTCACCTGGTCACCTGTGAAGCCGGTTTTACACTCGCCGCAGCGGAAGGAGCCCTGATGATGACAGTACAGAGTCAGAAACCAGGGCACTCTGCTATAGGAGAGTGTGATAACCATGCACTAATCCCAGTGGTCTTACCATAGTGTTGTAGCAGTGTGAGTCGGCAGTGCAACCTCCATTCTCAGGCGGGCCCAGGCACTCATCTATATCCTCACATACCTGGGATGAGCAGTACATAAAGTATAAAGAAAACGAATCATACTCTGTAGACAGGCACGGATAAATCAAACAGAATGAACGTTTTATTTACAGTGTATTCATTTTTTTTTTTTTTTATTGTACCTGTTTGTGTGACTTAGCATAGGATACTCCCACTCCATTTATCTCCGGTCCGGTGTATCCCAGAGGGCATTTCTCACAGCGAAAGCCAGGAGCAGTGTTCACACACCGGACACCAGGGAAACACGGGTTAAACTGGCACTAAAACACACAAAGAAATACAGAAGCTGGTCAAATGCTAACTAGTTCTACTTTCACGTCCTGGTTGCAGAGACACATGCACACCAAAAGGAATATATAAAAAAAATATAATCCATACCTCGTCTACGTCATCACAGTGCACCCCGTCTCCTGTGTATCCATCAGGACAGGGGGCACACTGGAAGTCCCCTGACTCTGAACGGATGCACATGTTCTGTCTGAAACAGGTCCCAGGTGGGCACTGAGTCAAAGGCTCAGGCTGCATGACAAACTGCCCTGGACCTGGAGCTTGACCAGCGTTGGTTGGACTGCCCCCGAGACCTGTGGGCACACATAGACAGATATACAAGCACATTGTTAAATTTTTCACTTTGTCAGAAGTGTTTAAATTCAGTAAATGAAACTAGTTTTTGTACTGCTTACCACAGGCAAGACACTCTGCGATGGTGTTCCTCAGAAAAGTTGTCTCCTTAATCTTAACCATAAAGAAACAGGGTGTAGTACTTGTTAGTGCTACTTGGCTAAAATGTGTTAACACTTTACATCACTTCATATCAATACAGGTAAATCCTACTTGTATCTTTCAATAAGCACTGGAAAGCTATAAAATGTGTGTCTGCTAAGGTGATCTGTTTCCTTACATAAAAGATTCCCTCAGTGTGTTTGATACTTTAGTGTCGAATGCTCCCTGAGGCAAATCCCCTGCTTTAAATAATCATCTGAAATCATCCACTTCTATCTGCTGCTGAGGTGAAGGTCCGATTTTTGATTTACTCAGCTCTCTGTTACTGATGTTACATAAAGCCTTGAAACAAAGCCAATCTTCAGGTCCTGCATTCTCACTTCTCACAATGAACTGCATATTTTATTGCAAAAACAATCTCACCACGGAGAAAAAGGGAAATTCCAAATGGTTGCAAATCAGCCCACATTCTGCCACTTTTAAAAACAGATAATCCAAATCTTCTAAACAACCTCTCCGCATTTTCTATCAATACGATATCATCGAATCATTCCACTATTTGCCATTACTGTGTTATTAAAATGCTGTGTAGGTCTTTAGTTGATTTCCCAAACCTTGTGATCAATTTCAATATTTGTTTGTGTGTGTTTCGTTTTCCATCACGAGGTGTCACACACAGGGCTCTGACACAGAATAGGTCACCTGCTGGTGGAGTAGCGCCTTCATCTCAGATAGCATGCTCCTCAGCTCCAGCATGGTGGCCTGGTCGTGCACCGTCCTGCCTCCCTGGATACCTGCGAGGATTTCACAAATCAGAATTAGAGAATTGGATAAAAAAACTGTGAAAAAAAGCTTATGATTTACATATGTAACAAAAAAAAAGAATATTAGGTGTTCCTGGTGGTGGTTTATTATTTCCAGCACTTTTCAAGTTTTCCAAGCTGTTGACTGCTGTGTGAAATCACTTCAAAACACTGACATCTATTAGGTTTAAGTTAAAATGGCGGCATGTGTGTGTGTGTGTGTGTGTGTGTGTGTGTGTGTGTGTGTGTGTGTGTGTGTGTGTGTGTGTGATGTCAGACAGACAATCAGTTGCAATTTGTTCTCACCCAGCAGTTGCAGAGATTCACCCTGGTCCACACTACAGTCCTGCAAAGTGGCCACATTGTCTATAGTGTCCCCTGTCACCAGCTTGAAGTCTGTCAGTGCATCCTTACAGAAGAACAGAGGAAAGTAAGAAATTAAACAGTATGAATTTGATTCATTCAGCACAAATCTATCAAGAAATGGTTAAATATATACACATGTACTCATAATATAATGTTTGGGCTTTACTATAATGTGTTATACAGTAGATATCTGCAGTATAATGGTATAATGGATATTATTCACCTGTCCACTTGGCTGCAGGGTCCTAAGGGCCACCCTATTGGGACCAGGTGGGAGTGATCCAAACGCAGCCGGAGCATCATCCAAAGTGTGCGCCAGTCTGCAGTCTACATAGATGTTGAGGCGAGGCGGACCACCCTGCAGACCGCTGGCGTGTAGCATCACATGATGATCTCGGCCATCAGCCAGGGAGGCGTGGTTGAAACTGGTGGCGCCAAATCTGCCGTCAGTCTTCTGGTAACGAATGGTGACTGGATAGAAGGAAGTGAGAATGAAAGACAGAGGAGAGAAAACAAAGAGCGGGCGGAGGGGAGGTAGCAGTTGAAACGGATAGCTGATGATGATGTAGTGTGTGGTTGTTATAGACACTGTTGTATGTCTCAGTATAATAATTCACCCTTGCTCAGCTTGGCCTGCACGCTGAAGTCCAGGTACTTGGTGTTGTCTTTGGGGTTGATGACACTGTAGAGAGAGGTGGGGCCCTTGCTATGGAGCCTGAAGGAAGAGAGGAGGAAAGCCTCGTCTTGCCCTTTGCTCTTCAGCTTTCCTTGCAGCAAGTCTGGCAGGCAGTCTGGAGAGTCCAGCAGGTCATAGACTAATGCAGGAGAGGATTGTTAAACACCTGAATTACACTGCCGTGGATGCATTGTAGCACCATTGTGACAAAGAGAAAAGGCACAGTTTAACACCACAGGCAGTAAGGGAAAAATTCAGTCCGTAGTGTGAAATATTCAGCATACCAAGTGAAAACACTCCATGTGGTACAAGTGCTGCCGAATCTATTTTTTGACAGTATTAATGGAGAGTTTTGAGTTTGTGTCTTAGTGACTATAGCTCGCACTGAACTGTCGATTGCTACTGCTGAGTCAGTGCACTATGGTACTTTATTATGTGTGACAGTATATCTGTTGTGTGTGTGCTTGTGCGTGTGTGTGTGTGTGTGTGTGTGTGTGTGTGTGTGTGTGTTTATGTGCGTGCAAGTGCATGTTCACGTTTGTATCCTGCTGTGTTTTATAGAGTGGTGGATGGGAGTTGCAGAGAGAAGCAGCAGTAAACTCTTTCCACTGGAACAAACCCACCGCTTCACACTCACATGCACGGACACATACACACAAACTCAACAACACTTGCACTCAGCCATTTGCTCAATTCAAGAGTAATACGAAGTGACAAATTGAATGGAAACATTTGCGTTTAAATTCCAGGCAAATCAAGGTTTTGCACATGCAATTTCTCACTTGGTTGTTGGCCCTGTTTTACCATCCAAGACTGGCCTTATTTAGGTCAGACTGTTACTAGATCCTGGATGTCAAACTCTGCAAGCCACAAAAAAAGCTAATTTCATGCCAACCAAATCAACAGAATTACCCTTGTTAATTGCAGCTTACTGCAGATTGGAAGTTATAAGACCAGACAACAGACTGTTAGGAATGTGTAAATGGAAAAGACAGTTACTAAAACAGTGATACACAGAGGTTTAACATGTACAGCACACAGAAACACACTGTATATAATGTTGTCCAGAAGGACATGGATGGTGAAGAGCCCGTACTTACCAGTGCCTTCAGCTGTGACAGTGAGCACCAGCTGTTGCAGCACCAGAGACAGAGCTGCTGCTCTGCCCCACATACCCATCATCAGTGCTTCAGAGCGGGACACACCTCAAAAGAAGCCGTGTCCCTGAAGAAAGAACTAAATTTCCTCCTGTGGATCAGTAAGAGAGTCACAGGCTGGTCAACCACAGAATGATGGACAAGTCCTGATCTTGAAGAAAAATATCAGGAGAGGTGAGATGGTTTTGTGGCCACAGGCACAGCTTTTTAAAGCAAAGGGGAGTGTTCCCTTACGCTCCTGTTGCGAAAGTGGCACAGTGTAGGGACTATTTTAATAGTTTGGGGGAGTGTCCCCTTGCTACTATCGTCTGATTGAATGATAAGTTGCATATTGTCCCTGTTTGTAAAAGCTGAAGTAGTTTAACTTCATGCTAGAAAAAGTAAAATAGTTAACAAATAAATGTGAAACAAAATATATGGCATTAACAGAGCATTTTATTCTAAAAAGAATTGTCAGAGTTCTGCATTACTAACACTACTGAGCTAAATGTGAGAAGTTTTAATGTATTTATGACTCTATTTGATTTAAAGTCAAAATAAAGCCGTTATCCCTTAAGTCCTTGTCTGTACTGTCTTTTGGGGATTTGTAATATAACAGCATAAGAAGTACTCTAAATCAGCCTGTATACACTCAGCCAACTCTGAAAAATGTCTGAAATGGATTGTGCCTGGATCTCAGGGGAGGAAAACCTGATTCCATCTGGCCATTGTTTCTCACAAACATCACTGAACCCGTGTAATAAAATGTGGATTTCATCTTCTAGCTCATCTCAGTAAGCCAGTTGAATTGTATAACTGTGCCAGATGTTTTTAATTTTCATTCAATTTTATTTAACTGAATGCCTCTGCAAAGCTTTTCTAAATTCCATTTCTTGAAGAATGTGGGAAAAAGAGGACAGAGAGGGCTAGACTTGGGACAGTTTTTAACCCTGGAAACATTTCATGTTAGGCGTCTGGTACTCGTCTTAAAGTTTTCCCTACTAACCTCAAGTGGATTTCAACATCTCAGCTGCTGGGCCGATCCAAAACAGAGACATTTACCATCCCTCAGTGCACTATCACTGTGGATCCGTCTGTGTCTGGCTGTCTGGTCTCTGACCAAACCCCTGGCAGCCTTCAACGGTCTGACTATCACCTCCGGGACAGATATCATGTTATTGTTGCTGAAAAGATATAAAGCTCTACAAAAATGGAAATTAGTATTTGACATGGAAATAAAAATATAAAATGGTCGCTCTTTCAGCATTAAAAAAATATAAAATCAGATCACATAAAATGAACAACTGAGTGATATGACCTTTTGATCATGTTATCTCCAGCCAGACTTAAAACTGTTGCCATAATGGTGACATAAAACATTAAATATCACCACTCTTAACAACCACATGAATTCGTTAAAATATGATTCACCAAGCATTTTTTTTCTCTGTGCCACTTTACCATATGTACACATTTCCCCAGTGGTAAACAAAGAAGGAGGTCTGGAACAGGGGACAAATCAGGAACTGACTGCTAATACAAGCCTTTAGAAAGATCTTTGACAAGATACAGTTTGAAACTAAATTTAATGTATAAACAAGGTAGATAAGGGGAGTTTTTCCTTATCCAAATATAAAGCCCTTTAAGACAAATTTGTTATTTTGAATTACATAAATAAAAATTTACTTAACTTGATTATTAATGACCTAATGTGTAAGAATAACTTGCTCTTCAGTGTATCTGCACACTGGACATTTTCTAAATAAATTATTCCTGATTAATTCTGAATCAGGGGCTCAGTCAGGATCCAAAAAAAGCAATTCATAAATAATTCAGGGTTCATTCTTTATGCTGTTCTGGAGTTTACGAATCACACAATCTTCCTCAATCCAGCTGGATTTGTAAGGATTGTACTTAAAGGATTTCTTATAGATGTTGTCATATGTTCTCATACGTGTTGTTATATGTCAATAAAGTCTTTCTCATTAGGTGTACTATTTTTTCTCCCTCTATTAAAGTGGTGATTTGTTGTCCCTCATTCCTTCATGATTACTTCACCATTACTTAGCATTTTTATGATCCCTAAAGTGAAGTAAAGCATCATAACAAACCGACAAAGAGCTAATGAACCAGTATGAACTCAATATATCAAGGCAGAGACTGACTTCTCAAAAAAGAAGAGAAAACAAACAAACAAACAAACAAACAAAACAAAAAACGCTCATATACACAGCACATTTACATTAATATTCACATTACATTATTGTTCCTTCATGACACCGTAAATGTGTGTAACATATGAACATTTTATTCTGAGCACGATATTTTTTCTCATATTTATTTTTTTCACCTGATTTTTCTGACCTATTTTTTCACTAAATTTTATACACCTCATATTTTTCACCTGTTTTTTTTCACCTCTGCAGGCTCTGATGTGACGGATGTATCAGGTACCCCGTGACGTCACTGGCTCCCTCCATGAATCAAAAACATGGCGGCTGCCATGGAGCTGAGATGCTGGGGAGGAGATTGGGGTTTGCCTTCTGTCCACACCGAGTCCCTCATAGTTTTGGTAACGTTACCGTCTGCTTGTAAAAACAAATATGCTCATTATATCCACTCTTGCGACAGGTTTCTCTCTTCGGTTTCCTTTGCTTCTTCTCTGTGTATCTCTGATTAGCTTCCATGCTAACTTACCTACCTACAGTTTGCTTGTCGGCTGCGTCGATGTGCAGGATAGAAAATAATATTTCCAGTTATATTTAATGTTTGTCCAGCTACAAAATAACAGCTGTGCGGACTGCATGGTCTGTTCTTCATGTGTGCCTGGTTGTCAGAAGTCAGACTCATTGCTAACAAAGATTTGGTCCCTTCAAGGTCAGTTTGCACAGGGTCCGATTTTAAACCGGAAGATTTTTGTCCGCACTACCTTGCCGTGTAACTATCGACTGTGGCCGAGGTAGTATTAACCTGGTCAGAAAATAAACAGCGAGTTGTTTGCTGTTTAGCATGTTCTCCCTCAGTGAATCCATGCAGTTACAATTCTTGCCACAAGGTGACACTTTGGCTCATTTTCTGGCCATGATGAAACGTATGCCATATTTTAAAGCATTTTATTAATTTCACTAATGATTTTTGGTTGAGTTTGTAGTTTGTTGACAGCATTATAATATGATTACAGAATACCATATGTCAGACTTTGTCAGGGGTCATTCTAGATTAATCTTATCAAGATGAAAACAGACATTTAATAAGTGAAATTTTAGAAAATAGGAACTATAAAATGAAATCAAATGCAAACCACAGTAATATTTTCTTCAGAAAGCAGACAAGGTAAAATTTCAGAGCAGAAACCATTAATTCTCAAACATTAATCTATTCTCACAGATGTTTTTCATGCCAAATATTCTCCAGTGTAATGATTTACTGCTTTTCTCTGAACATATTTGGATGTTGGACTCTTAGTTGAACAAAAAAATTGAAGGTGTCTCCTCGGACTCCTGAAAATTATAATAGGGTGATTTTTGCTATTATTTTACATTTTGTACACTAAAGCTGAAAATAAAGCAACAAATTATTAGATTTATTAAAAAAAATAATTGTTAGTATTAACTCTAACTTATTTAATTATGCATCTGTTTGTCTTTATTTTGGTGTGTTTTTTTTCCTGCTTGTGGTTTTGCTTGTTTTAACTCCTTCTATAAATGAAGCTGTTTCATGTCAGCAGTGTAATCATAGTGGTCCCTTGTGCCAAATGCATTTACAGTCAGTGCCATATTCCTCCTGGTGGTACAACGTAACCTTGATTAAAGTATTACAGTCCTGCATTTGGGCTGTATGCAGCTCAGGAAGTATTCTCCTGAAAGATGCATGCTGCATATGTTTGCATTTAGATCAATAGTTCCACTGTAACATTTATAACTGACTTTTAAATCATGAATGCACCGACTGTTGTTTCTTTTATCATCTTTCCTGACTCAAGTTCGGGTTTTCTTTCAGGCATACGCTAAGTTTTCAGGGGCAGAAGTCGCGGTTTCTCCTATAGACTGGACATGGAAAACTCTAACAGGTGAGCTGCAGCTTCTCATAAAGAACAAATTCCTAACACGGTGGTCTGGACGCCACATTGGGATTGCTTGGTATACATATGTTGACAGAGAATTCTATGACTCACATGGGAATATTTGCAGACAGTGCATAGTCCATACAAAAAAGAAATATAGCTGTATAATGTGGAGCTTCCTTTATACTATTGAAAATAACAATATTATGACAGTATGCGTGCTTAAGATCACATGACAACTGTAATACTGTTATTGCTGTAGTCCTGAAAATGTTGTTGACCCAAAAACATGTCAGAAGTATTGGTTGGATTTAAAGCTTTGGTTTTTTATGTTTTTCTGCATCTGATTCGGTTTCACAATGGAGTGAGTTAATGTAAATCGAGGTTCACAATACATTTTGTAATTTGTAATTGTAATATCCCTGTTGCTCAACCTGCAGCGACAGTCCCAGAGTTGCTTTGTGGAGGCTCTGCAGTGCAAGAACCAGCGCAGATACTCAACTTCCTGAGGAAACAGGTGAGAGTCTGCTAAAGCTACTCACTGTCCATAACCTGGTTTTTATGTCCCCAACCCCATTTAACAGAATGAGCGGATCTACGGAGCGGATCTTGTAATATTTATGATTTTTTTTTTTTTCAGAGGTTTAATGCAGACTATGAGCTGACAGCCAGACAAGGAGCAGACACCATGGCATACATCGCCCTGCTTGAAGAGAAACTGCGACCAGCTCTGGTAACACCATCTCTCCTCTACTTGTTTCCTGTCAAACAATAATCTGTGAGTGCTGTAAATGTTTAGAGTGAGGTTTCGTCTCCAACAGCTACACACTTTCTGGGTGGATGCAGAAAACTACGCCAATCTGACACGGCCATGGTTTGCGTCACGCTCGCCTTTCCCTCTTAACTTTCTCGTCCCTTGTCACCATGCCAACACTGCCCTCTCCCGCATCCTTCTAACCAAAGGAGAGGCGCCACTACACAGAATCAGTGAGGTGGAGGGAAAGGTAAATACTGATCTGCCTGATTCATCAGTTGTGTCAGCTCTGCCAACATGTCAGCTCTCTTGTTTATAACTGTAAATCTTTCTCACTCTGCCTGCCTCAGATCTACAGTGATGCTAAAGAGTGCCTGAATCTCCTCTCCTACAGGCTGGGAACAGCAAACTATTTCTTTGGCAACTCGTGAGTTATTTAATGTTTGCGGACTTAAATGTTCATTTGAAGGACCACATGTATACATCAAATGTTTGTTCAAAGCTACTGGAAAACAGAATAGATTTAAAAAAAAAAAAAGCTTGAAAAAGACTTCATTAATTAAATTTGTGGTTCAGAGTCAGTTGGTCAACAATTGAGGCTTACTGAAACAAATTTAGATACATAGAAGGAATAGTTCATTTCGAGTGTATTTGAGAAATCCCTCTAGAAATTTTTTGCAGTGTTCATTTCTGACAATATGTGTAATACTACATTTGATATTCACGCTTCATAGCCCTATACCGTTTGTTTATATTTTTGTATACGTGTGTGTTTGGGATTGTAGGCCGACCAGTCTGGATGCCTTTGTATTTGGTTTTGTGGCGCCACTCCATAAAGCCAGTCTTCCAAGCAGCCCTCTGCAGAGCCACCTCAGACAGCTGGATAACCTCACACGCTTCTGTGACACCATCCTTGCGGTCTACTTCAGCTCAGACCAACCTTGTAAGATCGCTGCACACACTGGAAATAGTCACACTTTGGGGCTTAAGTTTGGTAAAATCGAGACACAAAGATGTGGGGAAATATTTACATTTGCCCGCACAAAACAACTAACATCATTAGAATTTTCCTTCTTCTTCTCAAAGCTTTGTTTCACTGCATGCTTGCTCTTTGTATCTACTTTATTTTTGGGTGTTCATTGACTTAACACTGTTCCCGTTCCTCTAATTCTCTGCAATCTCATTTTTCTTCTGCTGGTGTCGCATTACGTCATCTCTCTCCAGGTCCTCCCCCACCTGTTCAGGAAACTATGGATGCCAACCTGCAGAAACTAACTCAGCTTGTAAACAAAGAATCCAACTTAATAGAAAAGGTGGTTCTGCTTTCCTTTTCTCCTCTTTGCATGGGTTCATGGTTGCATTTGGCAGGTGCACTCTCAGCTGTATTTACATAAATAGTGTATCATACTGAATCACTGTTTTCCGCTCATGCATCTGTGCTCCAACTAAACTGTACATCTTGTACTGTAGATGGATGATAACCTTCGCAGCAGCCCTCAGCACAAACCCCACAGACCAGACCCCAAACCCAGTCTGGCCAGTGAGAAGAGCTCTACCCCTGCCTAACCCTTGACCTTACACCCCTGATCCAGCCTTAGGAATCGAGGAGGACCACCCCATAGATGAAAGGTGCTGACTCAACGTCCTGAAATCAAAAAATTGTCATAAAGCTGAACTGCAACTTGAATGGAAAATAACATTTCACATCATTAACAGGAATATGACTATATGATTATAAAAAGAGACTTTTTTTTACAGCAAGATAATGATGATAGATTTCAAAGATGTTTGTCTGAAAGAGAAGGAAAAGTGCTCTAGAGAGGTTTTTAAGAAGGTTGAGCGCATGTATGTGGTAAAGATGGAATGCTATGAAGTGGTGTTCAATGAGAAAGACACAGAAAGTTCAAAGGGAAGCCAGCCTACAGTTGATGCACCATAGAGAACATGAAGATATTGAAGAGACTGTGGTCACTTAAGTAGAACAGTGTGGTGCTAGAGAACCTTATGGCAAGATTTGTTAAGTTATGTTAAACCCAGTTTATGAATCTGTGTTTTTGTTAGATCCCCATCCTTCTGAGCACATATTATTTCTAATATCCACAGTAAAATGTTCTGCACTGTAAATTCTAGCATTTTAATTAGGGTAATGTACACTATATATGCAGTCATGACTATAGGAATGAACAACTACTTATTTTGCTTTGCTTTCACCTCCTCTGTTGTGTATAGTTTGTATAGTTGTAAATAGTTTCATGATTGAAATCAATGCAATTTACTGGTGGTTTCTTCTAATAGGGCTGATCAGCTTGTTCACAATCTTTGCTAGACACACTGAGGTAATGGAAGGGCCTTACACACTGTATTAACTTATTCATGCAAAATATTTGGGATTAACGTGTTTATTGTGTGTGTGTGTGTGTGTGTGTGTGTGTGTGTTTGTGTGTGTGTCTTTCAATCATTTTTTGTCTTTGTTGTCCAAGATTGTGTGTGTTATTAACAATCCACTCACTTCTGTTGTTGCCATGATTTTCCACGACCAACATTTACTTTGTTTTGATTTTTTTTCTGCTGTATTATCATTTGTGCCTATTTAACACTCATTCTGTTTAAATTGAAGTGTCCGTCCTACATGGGAATGTCTCATTAGCTGCCTTCTGATTTCCTTTATTTGTACAGTCTGATTATCTAGTACAGAAATTGGACTGGGCTATGAGTTGCCTGTTTTTTCTTTGTTTTTTTTTTTTGCTTTGTTGTTTTTTGTTTTTTTTTACTGTCATGCTCCCTAATATCCTCACAGCTCATACATCACAGAACTGAGTCTTCTTCTCCTTTCATGATCTCAGTTTTAGAATATGAATACTCGTAAAGATACCTGGGCTCTTGCAACTTCATGGTTACATTCCCTTTAAAGCACCGTATTCTGAAACTAAAGTGTTCATTGGGGTGTGTGCTGTCATCACCCCGTGTTGTCAGACAGGCTTGTGAGGACCACATGGGTGCAGTGTGCCTTCACGACTGATAGTGTCAAAATGTATTTTCTGTCCTTTATAATTTTGATACATTGTCATAAATTATCTTTGTCCTTTCAGTTGCTGTTGTTCATGATCTGTTGGTGGTTGATAACAACTGTCTTCATATTACTGAAATACAAATATAATAAGCCAACGTCGGCCACTGTCTTTTTTTTAAATGTACTTTTTAAAGCAAAATAAACAGCACGTGCTTATGAATGGAGCCAAAATCAGAGCTTCTAGTGGACTTCAGTGCATTTTTCTTTTAAAAAGAAAAAAGAACATTTTTCCTCCATCCTCTAACTAAGACAATGCATAACGCTGTCCTTTTCTGTGACCTGTGTTTCCCGTAATAGTTACAGAAGATTTCACTATTGCCCACTGTGCCTCTTATTGTGTGACCAGTTGTTTAGATGTTGGAAGGATAGAGAGCTCTTTGTCTGGTTTTGGCTTTAGACATGGAAAAAAAGGAGAGTAATTAAGCTGAGAGGAAATGATGTATACTTGAAATCAGATATTGTCCAAGTCATTGGTCACGTGTGGGAGAAACTCCTGCTGAAACTTCCATTGGCTGGCTAATAGGCACAGTAACAGGAAATAAAGAGCACATTTGGACCTGTTGTCAATTTTGTGTTGCATCTTCTCAACTCCAATATTTTTACGACCCATTTTTCTGGGTTAGAAAAATATGTTTGTCGGATAGTGTCAGAAAACACTGGGTCCTAACTTACACTAACCCGAGCCTTCCTGAATTCAGCTACAATAAAAATTGTCCCCAGCTTCACAAACCGGTGTTATCCACTGCAGGAAGGAAGACAAGAGTCAGTTCCAGTAAAGCGAGGATGTCACTTTTTCAAAGAGCTCTCCCTCAGGTTCCAGCAGAGCACATGCAAGCCAGCAGCTGTTCCCTGATGGTCTGCATGTGTTTCTCCTCCACTCCTCTTCTTCCTCTCACTCTCCCTCCCCTCTGTGTTTCCCCAGAAATGAGGAAAGGTGTCAGACATGAGGGAAAAATAAGGTACGAGTGCCTGGAAAAATAGTAACATAATAATTGTGAGATGACTTGTCCTCGGAAAACCATATAGCTTTGTCAGCGAGGTGAATTGTCCACAAGTCCACAGTAGCTGTAGGTCATACTGAAGGCATCTGGAAGTCTAAATGTTTGATAGATTTTGCAGACATTGTTAGTATTGGTAGCAGAAATATATTTGACTGATTACTAATTTGTGTTTACACTCATTTTTAAGTTGGCAGTAATGTTCATTGTATTACATTGCAGTAAGTGTACTGGGTGATGAAAAGTACATGGCAATACAGGGCTGGCCCAAGGCATAAGAGAACTACGCAGCTGCTAAGGGCCCCTAATGGCACCAGGGGGCCCCGAAGAGTGCTTGAAATGCCCCACTAGATCTTTTTGCTGCTGCACTTCTTCTATCCGAATGTACAGTTTTCTCTGGGCTACAGTGCTGAAATACAACACTATAGATATGTATTTTACCACATTGCAGAACAAAAATTATCAACACAGAAATAATAAAAACATTTTAACGAACGCCACACTTCCCAACGCACCTGGTGCACACGCCCATACCTATGGCACACAGCTGCATCTGCACATGGTCGCACTCTCATGCCAATGTATGTACGTTGGTGTTTGCATTTTACCATTGTTCTACCTGGAGATGACGCACAATTTCTCAGAGATTGGTGAGGCTGAACTGCACAGCAGCCAGCAACCCTATTGAGATTTATTAGGCTTTATTGTAATTACTTATTCTTTATCAACAATGAGGGGGGTTGTTGCTTACTGCTTATGGCTATTAGCCTATAGGCCCACTATTTACAAAATAAAGATCTAGTTCTTATTCACTAAATAAAGTTTAGTTTTTATGTCTTACTATACTATGACTTTTTTTCTTTACTATACTATGACTTTATGACTAATTATGCTCTGACTTTTTATGATTAATATACTCTGACTTTTTTTTAACTTTTTATGCCTTACTATTGAATGACTCTTTATGCTTTAGTATATTATGATGTTTTCATGCCTTATTATACTATGAAATTTTAATTCCTCACTATACTATGAATTTTTATGCCTTACTATACTATGACTTTACGACTTAATATACTGTGACATATTATGATTAATATGCTATAACTTTTTATGCCTTACTATACTACGACCTATGACATATGCATATATATATATATATATATATATATATATATAAAACATAGTTGTCCCTATATCAAGAGGGATGTTACAATCTGTGTCATCTATAAGAGGCTATATTATTATGACATACATACATCCTCTGGATATATGAAGATATAAGTTTAGAACATATATGAAATACTCATAGTAAAATTCAACTTTNTTTTTTTAACTTTTTATGCCTTACTATTGAATGACTCTTTATGCTTTAGTATATTATGATGTTTTCATGCCTTATTATACTATGAAATTTTAATTCCTCACTATACTATGAATTTTTATGCCTTACTATACTATGACTTTACGACTTAATATACTGTGACATATTATGATTAATATGCTATAACTTTTTATGCCTTACTATACTACGACCTATGACATATGCATATATATATATATATATATATATATATATATATATAAAACATAGTTGTCCCTATATCAAGAGGGATGTTACAATCTGTGTCATCTATAAGAGGCTATATTATTATGACATACATACATCCTCTGGATATATGAAGATATAAGTTTAGAACATATATGAAATACTCATAGTAAAATTCAACTTTAATAATACAACATGCTTATTAAAATACTATTTTTTTGTATATGATTTTCTTTATAATTTTTTATTAAAATTAACCATACATGCCTATCTTTTATATTTACATATATAATGAACATATAATGACTGGCTATATACGAATATATATTCATGTATCATATGTCTATAATACACTGTTGCCCATAAAGTTGGAGTCATTTTGTTTTCAGACACAATCCTCTGTTTTTTCCTATTTAAATGCATCAGTAATCACTTTTGACCAGGTGCAATGATTACATTATGTGTCCCAATTACCCAGGTGAAATGCATTCATGCATAACATTTGTTTGGTGCTAAAAAAATATTTAAAAAAATATTTTATTCCAACTTTATGAGCAACAGTGTATAAACCTATAATATAAACAGACATACTAAAATACATGCTTCTATTAGCTAGACATACTGTATATGTCAATATATGATATTATTCCAATGGAACAGGTTTCACATGTAATTTTTACATATATAGGGCAAAGTGTATATACATATACGGAGATTCAACACATGTACATATATTACATTTGTGTATGGGCATTTCTGAATGTAGATTCAGATCTCAATAACCTTAATAACTTGTTTGATTGATGGCATTAAAAAGTCAATCACTTTGTTTTAAAGGGGTGGTGGAGATGTTGCGTCCCTACCAATGTTGAAACCAAACTTACACCCTTGACCAAATCAAATTCTGCTTAGGGCCCCATAAAGGCTTGGGCGGTCTCTGTGGCAATAGGATGTTTTAAGAGAGAATTCATTTATTCATTCATTTTATTTGACACTGCATCTCTTCTTTAGAGTTGAGAGTATTATATGTATGTCTGTTCAGGTGATTTCCAAACTGCAGGTTTGCCACCTGATGCCCTGCAAAACAAAACTGGACACGCATAATTCAGAGGACAGATAAATCCTTTTTTGGAAGCTTTTGAACCAATATTACAACTAATGGAGTCCTGAGGCCCTCTGGTGGTGAATGTAAGTTAGAGAACAGAGTAAAAATAATCAGTCCAGTTGTGCAAATAGAAAAAAATAATCATGTTCATTCAGCTCGTCGAGAAAATCAGTTTACATGACAGGTGAAAGAAAAACAGTTGATCTGCTTTTGGCATCAGTCGCACATAACAAAATAGACTGATCACTTCAGTTTACAAAGGTTATTTACACAAAATAAACCTATTCACAATATGAAACACAGTTCAAAAAGTGCTACAGTATATTTTTTGACTCATTGTCTAAACTTCGGGGTGACAAAATAATTGAACTATCACTTGTATTTCTCTCTGTGATGAGACAATGTGTATTTGACTCCAACATGTTGTCAGAGCCTTTACTCACATTATCTATCAGTAAAAGAACAGAAGACAACTGAAAATGAGTAAAGCACAGAACATTTACAAAACAGTACATCTGCATACTTTACGGTCAAAATTACAAAATAATCCACAACAAAAATACATGATGATCACCTGTGAAAAAAATTTCAAGGCACTCATTTTCAATCCAGTTGTATTGCACCACATACATCGTTCAATTGCACCACCTCTGTTTTCGATATTTACAAGACAGTTTCATTTTTGTGGCCAACAATAATTCATTTGGTTTTTGATCAGAGAAAATCTGTTTTTAAAATAAAGTTCCTTTTTACCAAAAACACACAAACCCCTTTAAACAAATCAAATTGCATCTTCTGCCTTTGTTTTGGATCTAATTATTATTTTATGTCCTGTCGTATCTGCACTCTTTTCTGTAATGTAATAGTGGTCATTTCAATTATTATAAAGTAAGATCACTCAAATTAACAAATGTCCAACATGAACTGTAAACTCTTCAGCGTGTGAGGCAGGTAGCAGAGCTAGCTGTCCTTGGTAAACTCCGGTACTTCCAGCACCATGCTGACCTCCAGGCTGCCTGGCATCTCCAGGGCCAGAGCAGGGTGGCACGGCTGGGTGAAGCGCTGGCTGAAGGAACCTAACAACTGACCACTTTGGGCATTGTAGAAAGACAGACGACCAAGCTGGTAATCCAAGAGAGTACCTACTCGCTCAGGCATCTCCATCACGAACACACTGGACTGGACGTCATTGTGGAGCAACTGATACCTGCAACTGGAAAGATAAAGACACCAAAGGTAGAAGTTTTACTAAAACTAAAACAATTATGCAAAGCATCTCAGAAAATGGGGGGAGATTTATGCATACCCTGTCGGTGTAGGAACACACTGCAGACACCACGACAGGCTGTTTTCCCCCAGTGAGCCGCCTCTGTTGGCTGTGCTGTGTGCCACTCCGAGTCTGTAAGCTGTACTTCCTGACACAATTGTCTCCCAGTAATAGTGTCCTCGTAACGGCAGCAACTCACCCAGGATGGATGGACACCTAGAAAACACACAAACTGTGCTGGACACATATTTCTGAAACATTTCCTAAGTTGGGAGGTGATTGAAACTGTGTTAAACTCACTGTTTGTCTGTGAGTGGTGTGTTTTCATATGTGTCCTGGGAATAGTGCAGGGTGGTCCGATCCACTGACAGCTCTAAAGCAGGGTGAGCTGATGCGCTCAGCAGGTGGAACCTCGTCCCTGGAAAGAGTAACAAGTAAAAGAAAAGGATGTAAAAAAAAAAAAGAAACAACTACAAAAACAGTTTAAGTGTGTGGGTTTTTTTTTTTTTTTTTACCTTTTGTGGAAATGAGTGCAGCCTCACTCTGTTCGCTGGCTCCCGCCTCATTCACAGCTTTGATGTAAAACAGGTAATTCTCATTGGGCTGCAGGAGAACCCTCTGTTCACAGCTATTGATGCCTGAGATGGATCTAGGAGTATACCACACAAACACACACACATGCAAACACACATAACACACATATTAAACTTTCATACAGCCAAAAGTGTTGACTGCCCTTCCCAGTGTGTTCTGGGTCAGAAATTACAATAAAAAAAAAGAAAAGATTTTTAGAGTTAATCACTGCATTTTTCTGTGATATCATGATTTTCCAGACACCTTTCTGGTACCTGTCAGGTAAAAACAATCACTATGACTGACTACAAATTGATCAGCAAGGTGTTTGAGACCCACCTCAGTCCCTCTCCCTCCAGTTCATACTGACGGCAGTACTCCAAGGTGTAACTCTGTCCAGGAGTCTGCTGTTTCCACCTCAGTGTGGCCGAATCCCACATGACACTGCAGCGCTCTGTGTCAATCACAGGCACCGATGGAGCTGCCAGGAAGAGAACAAGGCATCTAAGAGAATAGCGTGCTGCTGCCTGGATAAACGTAGATATGTCATACGCAATACAACAGAAATCCCTTGAACACTGACTATTTAAATTTACCAAATCCCCCACCAGCATGCCAGTACAAATTGAAATGATGCTTGTTGTCTCCAGTGTGTGGACTGACCAGTTGTGAAGGCAAGTCTCTCGCTGGGCAGAGAGCAGCCTGTATAGTTGACAGCCATCACCCACACCTTGTACGTCTTGTCAGGCTCCAGCTCCTCCAAGACACAGTAACTCTCCTTCACTGTCACACGGTACTCCTCTGACACAGCTGTGAACCACAACAATATAGATATGCAGTACCTCTTGAAACCAAAAAAAAACCATATACTATACATATATATATATATATATATATATATATATACATATATATACACACACACACACGTGTATGTATATGTATTCACCCACTCCCCCACCCCCGATGGGGGGTGGGGGGGCTTCCTCAAGTATCTTAGCTCTTCCTAGGATTGCGCTCTGCTGGACAGAGACCTGAGATGTTGCACCTGGAATCTGCTGGAACCACCCTCCCAGTTTGTGGGTCACAGACCCCAGTGCTCCGATGACCATTGGCACCACTGTTGCCTTTACTCCCCACATCTTTTCTAGCTCTTTCAGCCCTTGGTATTTTTCGAGCTTCTCATGTTCCTTCTTCCTGATGTTGCTGTCACTCGGGGTTGCTACATCTATCCCCACTGCCTTCCTCTGTTGTTTGTCCATCGACTCGATGTCCGGTTGGTTAGCCATCACCAGTTTGTCGGTCTGGATCTGGAAATCCCAGTCCTAGCTCGGTCATTCTTAACCACCTTAGGAGGTGTCTTCCATTCTGAACGTGGGACTTCCAGCCCATACTCAGTGCAGATGTTCCTGTACACTATGCCAGCCACTTGGTTATGGCATCCCATGTACGCTGTTCCTGCCTGGGTCCTGACTGGTGTGGTATTTTAATGCTCTATTTTTAATATATTTCCATGCCTCTGTAAAGCTCTTTGAATTGCCTTGTGTCTGAATGGTGCTATATTAATAAAATTACCTTGCCTTAAACATTTCTCTATGACTAGTATAAAATTTCCCAGTTTAAATAGCAACCTGAAAGTATTTACCTCCTTGTGGATCCTCCATGCAGTAGACCTGGAAGCAGTCTATGATGTCTCCGGGGTTGACCTTCCAGTAAACAGTGACACTGGTGCTGGTGGCTGAGCCTGGCTCCTGGGGCTGCAGCGTGGGCCTCTGAGGCACTGAGGCACAACCAGGACATATACAGTACAAGCTTCATAACTGCCACATACACTGTATACGCACATCAAACTAGACTTAAAAATGAAGATAAAGATATGTAAATATCAGACCTACCTGGGATTCCCTTGCGCTGTGTGAGGTGTGAGCTGGATGTGTTGCCCTTGGCGTAGTCTTCGAACACCAGCAGTCCCTTGGGACCCAGCTCCAGTGACATGGCTGAGTCCAGGGCTGCCTTGAGACTAAACACACAACCGCAAACAATTAGCTTCTGGTCAACACAAGTCAATGTCAAACACTTCTTTGCTATAGGTTGAGCTCGGTACGGAGAATGTTAAAGAAAATCTATAACCACAATTCAGTTATCAGAAAACTGGCACACTCCCAGGGTTATAGCTCTGCAGGTCAAGCACCATGCTGCTCTGGTAATCACTGTCTAGTAATATGTTATTACACAGTTGTTAGGAAACCACACTAGCTCACACTCCATTCACTGAAAGCACATTACCTTGCATGAATGTCTTCAGGTGACTAGTAGGAGAGCAGATTGAAGAGGGATTTATCAGACATTTGACACAAACCCTGATCACCAATCACTGGCCAAACATGATACCACTGATCAATCAGTCTTAAAAGCTTCAGGACTCACCCGTGCGTCAGTCTCTTCCTCTCTGGCCGTGGTCTCTAGAGTGGCCTTGGCGGTTTCTATGCTCTCCTGGAAGGAGACAATCTGGTCATATAGCTGCTCCAGCTTGGACTTCTTCTCCTCCTCCATGTTGACGGACATGTTGTTGTACTGCTCCATCACCAGAGCCATCATCTCCTCGTTCTGCACCTGCATCGCCGCCTCGCTCTCCACACACTGGTCCTGGTGGAGAGGAGAGTGACGGCCAAATGAAACGATGTCCTGCTAAAATATCATGCTGTAGGCTGGATTGATTAATTTAAACTAATCTGAAATAAATTACAACCTTAGAGTATTAAATGTGAATGGCACAAAGTGAGCATGCTTTACCTCTACAGAGTTGTAGGCCAGCTCCAGTTCAGACACCAAGTCCTCAATGTTCTCTGACCTCCCCTGAAGCTCTGAGATCCAGTCACTCAGCTTCTCCTGTTATACAAACATTTATTCGTACATCATCACATGTACAGGACATCCTCTGACAATAAGACGCAGCTGTGATTGAGCAGAAGATCATCGTTGGAAGTTTGTAGATATAACATTAAATCTGCACCAAACTTAGTCTTTCTCCGAAATGAGTTCTTCACCCACTCTAAAGATTAAATTCTTTACTTGCTCTGTACGAAAGAAATTCCCATCACTTGCAGTATCTGAAACATGAATTCTCTTAAGACAATCTTATTGATCCGTGGGGTCCCAGTTTCTGTTGTTGTTATTTAGACTGATGACACAGATTAATCTTTAGGTTGCCTACAGCAGCTTTAAGGGGAATCATCAGGGAGGACACTGCAGGAGGAAGACTGGTGGTTTAACTAGGTCGAGCTGCGGTCACCGAGGCTGACCGCCTCTCCACCAAAAGCGGGAAAACAGGTGTGAGTGTGTGAGGGAGAATGTGTCCATCCATGTCTGAGAAGGTGTAGGAGTGCATTGTACATTCTAGCTGAGAGAACTGGACTGGATACAGGTTTGCTAAGTTGTTTTGCTGAGCTTGTCAGGATCGATTTTCCGCTCTGTGGAGTGTCTGAATAGACCGCACTGCTTGGTGCTGAAGTCAGACTTGTATTATAGCTTTGATCTTTGTCTTATTTACAGTCCAGCTGTCAGTGTTTCACATAAACACAACATCACACATGCACTAGACCTGGTTCGAATATCATCTGGAAATGATATTTGATCATTCTCAGTTTGTTCCAGCTTTCCTTTGATTTATTGCCAGATACTTTACGGTGAAATACTGAAATATCTCACTTCACTCATCTTGTCTGATGTATATTCACAGATTTACAGCAGCAAATCAACTGAACAGTGAATATTGTCTCTCCTGGTGAAAAGCTGCATCTTGTAGCAGCGCGAGGAGCTCTCTGTAGTTGTTTTCACGGGGCAAGTCTTCTCATGAATTTACACGTTAAAAACTGACTTTTGAAAACTACAGGCAAAAGAAACCAAAAAATTGCTAGAAGGTGTTATAATGTTAATGGAGATTTTAAAAAGGAGAGGACCGACCCTGTGCCAACCCAGAGGGTATATCACAGGGAGAACAGTGTGTGTGTGTGTGTGTGTGTGTGTGTGAACAGATCACCTCTCAGTCTCCAGTTGATGATGACACATTGGACCTTTCCACCGATCAAAGTAGAACATTACATCACAACAGTTCAATGTGCTTGGCCGCAGCCTGCCAGCAGCCCGGGAGCATGAAACTTGCCAGCATACATGGAAAAGTTATAGCCAGCTAATTTAGGGCCAGTTTATTATATGATGACGCAAACTAATGCCAGTAAAGTGTGCGATGATCGTAACCGTGTGTTGTAATAATGCTGGTAAAGTGCAGCTGCTATTTGATTACAGCATGCCATCAGTCATCAGAAAGGCTGCTGTGTCGTTTCGGGCAGCAGCTCACTAAAACGATCAAACATCTGGGAGACACTGTGATCTCTCTGAGGCGGCAGACAGGACATAAAGAAAAACATGTTGTCTGATCTGACAGATTATGATTTAATCTCCTCACATAAGTAGTTGTGTTCCTCTGAATCCATTCAATTTATCATATCATACAGATGATGCTCAGCTTTAATCCTGCATTGTTTCCCATGTTTTTTTGTTTATTTTTGTTTTTTAAGATCTAGCCTATTTGCTCACAAAGAGACACAAAATAAGTTTTCCCCAGAATGTTAAACTATTCCTTTAAATGTATTTCTTGTATTTTGCAATTCTTTACAATAAATATCCATTATGTAATAGATAATTTATCATCTATTTACAAGTACTTATGCTGTGCATGTTTACTAAGCTAGACATCTGAGGAGTTTTAGTATTATCAGTAATTTCAGTTAATACAATAAAAGGCAATGAGTACTATCAAAAATCAATAATTTTCTACTTGTTAATACTTAATGATAATAAATAACCGATAGAGATGGTAAATTATCAGTGAACTAATGTTCACAGCGGCACTTCCCCTGCTTCTCCTACATGTGTGTGTCTTACTGTACCTGTTCCATGCTTGTATACCTTCCTAAAGTGCTACTCCAGTGAGATGTTATTGAACTTTTATTGAGTTGGGGCACTCGCAAGAAAAATTATTTTAAAAAGAATAGCAGCAGTGGCTGAATTTCTAGTAGTGCTCAAGATCCAGAACCACTGTATCCTACATTTCCCATAATGCAAGTGAATATGTTTTGTTCAACACTTATGCCCACATCTTATGAAATTCATGCCCCCTGATGTTAAAGCCTAATGTGAGATAATGACATCATATACTACTGTGAAAATGATCATGTGTAAAATTGACGACGTGCCCCTTTAAAACAAATGTTACTTTATATATGCAATATACACATTCAGTGTGCGCATTTATTACACTACCTTGAATTCCTCATAGGCTTTGTCCACAGCAGTCACCACGTGGCTGTGATGCTCTCCGGACACACAGTCGTCCTCTGATAGCAGACGACCACAGGTGAGACAGAACCAGTCCATCCCCTGCAGCTCAGCAGCCAGTCGGGCCTGACTCTCCTCCTCTGCATCAATGATTTCATAGTCATCCTCAATGAGCTCTTCTTCTGGGGAAAGATCAAACATTTTCCCCTCCATCTCCATCTCCATCTCAACCTCCACCTCCATCCTCTCTTCTCTGTCCCGGCCAGACTCAGGTTTTGATTCCTCTGCATCTCTCTGTATTTCGGGTTCTGGCATCTCTTCTGCATCCTGTTTAGATATTATCTCATATTCAAACTCATCAATGGGCACTTCTGGAACCTCTGCAACCACCTCATCTTGCTCCATCCTTTGCCCTATATCCTTTCTGTGCAGATCAACATCTGGACCAACATCCTCTTCGATAATGATTGCATCTGGAAAATCTTCCACCCACATCTCCGCCCTTTGTTCTACATGTTCTTCTGATAGTATATCCTCCCTGTGCAGCCCAGATAAATCCTCCCTGGGAGTAAAGCTCCTCAGAGGGGAAAAGAAACCCTCATCTTCTTCTAAGTCCTCCCCTGTCTTCTTCTCCTCTGTGTCGGCCTCCTCCATCGGTGCAGGGGGTGAGTACTCTCTGTCTAAGTCATTTCTGGGTTGCTCTTCTACCTTTACAGCAACTTCTGCTTCTACTCCCAGTTGTGGCTGTGTCTTTGTTTCTCCCATCGGTGCCGGTATGTCTTCAGGTGCTATTAGATGTTCACATGTGCTGTCAGGTTCAGGGAGAGCTTCTGAATCACTCGGGGCCTGACCAATATCAATGTCCATCTCTACTGCTTGTCCCTTGGGAACCAGGAGGATTAACTCGTCACCTACATTCACCATATCCTGAGTCCCAGCGTCCTCTGTGGGTGTTTTAGCTTTGACTTCAGTTATCAGCTTTGTTTTGCCTGATTCACTATCAATTACCGGCTCCTCTTGTTGACGCTGCAAGGATTCAAGGATTTCATGATGTTTCTTATCTGAATCTGTCTTGACGTCGTCTGGCATCACAGGTTCGGTTACTTGGCTTGAAATCTCAGTTTTAACTTCTGGCTCCTGAGCAGCTTCGGCAATGAATTCAGGCAACTGGCTCTCAGCTGCAGCTTCCCCTGTCTTAGCTTCATGTTCTCTTCCTACTTCAGGAGCTGCTGTTGTTTGAACATCTGTCATCTCAGCACTTTTTACATCCTGAAGATCAATCTGAACTTGGGTTTGAATCTCTTTTTCATTCACTGCTTTTTCAGTTACCTCCACTACTGCGTGTACCGCACAGTCACCGTCGGTGATGACCTCGACAGGTGCAACACCTTCAGGGACGACTTCTGCTGCTTGTTTTTCCTCACACGGTGATATTGCAGCCGGTGTCTCTATTTCACCTGAAGGTTCAGTCGAGGTGAACGTTTCCTGTCTTACAGTCTCAGGTTCGTTGACTTCAACTCGGACCTCTGGTTTGGCCTCAGTTTCTACTTTCTCATCAGCAGCCACCATCTTCGTGTCAGGAGCTGGCTCCTCAGAAAAACTCTGCTCTATTTGTATTTTTGATTTAATGTCCATCTGTGGCACTGCACTGCTTACAGGTGCTTTTTCTGTCGTGTCCTCTGTAGCTTTTACAAGCTCTTCAGTTGCTTTTTCTGACACTTTTTGTGTCTGACATATCCGCTCGGTTTCAATAATGCTTTGCTCACTTCTTTTGTGCTCTTCTCTCTGATGCTCCTCACTCTCGCTCTCTGCTTTCTCTACCTTTCTGTTCTCTTGAATTTCAGGAGGTGGCTCATCAGTGCTCCTCTCAGGAGGCTCAGTCTGGTCTCCTTTTACTTCCTGTTTTACTTCCTGACCCTCAATCCGATCCTCTGTCAGGTTAAACTCCTGAGCTGATTTTTCTGGGGCCTCTCTGACAACCTGCTCTTCAGTTGCCATGGAGAGTTGTATTTCCTCCCTCTCCTTTTCTGTTTCTGTGACTATTTCTCTTTTCTCTTCAAATGTTGCTGATTGTAGATCCTCACTACTGCCTCCAGCACTGACCTCCTGTGTCTTTGGTTCCTCTGTCTTTGTCTTGTCCTCATCTTCTTCTTTGACCACTCTTCTGAGACTTCCTGTCATTTCAAACCTACTCTGTGACCACATCATCCTCCCTTCGTTCTCGTCCTGCACTGATTCTGGTTGAACCTCCACGGTGGAAGTTTCATCCTTCAAAGTAAACTTCTCCAGGTAGCCTTCCTCCTCCTCTGCATCCGACGAACATCTCTTATAAGACTTCTCAGATGCCACGCTCTCTGCCTCTGAGTGTTCCTCGTCGCTCCTTCTCCTCTCGCCTACAGCATCCTCGTAAAGGTCGGAGTACATGAAGGACATGGCGGTGGGCTCCTCCAGCAGGATGGGGTCAATAATCTTCGGGGGTCCAGCGGAGATATAGATGGGCGTAAGGACGGTCTCTTCACTCTCAAACAGTACTGAACCATTCTCCTTCGTCGATCTCTGGCTCTCTCGCCTCATCCTGGCTGCAACCTCCTCCTCATCCTCATCTCTCCTCTGCAGTGCATCAGCAGGAGCTCCTTCTCCGTAGAAGACCTCGTCCAGGTGTTCCCCGACTATCTCCACATCTGTGACAAAGACAAAAGACTCTTCTGATGCAGAGGGGCTGTCTGTTGCTGTCTCCGTAGCAGGTTTCTGCTCCTCTGCCTGGGGTTTCACTGCTTCCTCCTGCAGCTCTGGAGCTTGTTCTCCGGGGACTGCCTCATCCAAAAGGGTAAACTTCTCGAAGTAGTCAATGTCACTGGCGCTCTCTTTCTGAGAAGGTGTCTGCCCGGGTTCTGTGTCTGCTGATGGCTGAGAAGAATCTTGCTTCGAGGGCTGTGGAATGAGGAAACCAATCCATAAAGGACATTGTAATGTTTAAATCTACAAATGAACGTTTTATTGTTTATGCAAATGAATATATTAATTTATGTGAATGACAGGACAGGTTAGATTTAAATCATAACTAACTTGATCACATCATTCAAATCAATCAGATAAATACCTCTTGGTGATCGAGTATCCTCCCCTCGTCTGGCAGGACATGATTCTGTTGCCACGTCCAGTCATGGTGGCTGCGGGACTTGATCTTTGGAGTCTGGTCCAGATATGACAAATTGTCCTGCAGCTCTGTGCTCTCCTCCTCATCCACGGTGGGAAGTTTGGAGGGGACTCTGATGTTGAGAATCTCATAACCCTCTGAAATCAAACTAAACAGTTGCTGATCTTTGTTTTTGATTTCCTCCAAGTCCGGCTCTGTTTCGGTTTTCTCCTGTTTCACATTGGGGAGAGAAACCTCTGCCATCTCCGGTCTCTCCACTCCCAGAGCCGAAGCCGATCTTGAGCTTCCAGGTCGACTCAGCCTGTCCCCCAACCTGCTGCTCCTTCCTCCGGACCTCGTCCTCCTACGGACTACTTTATCCTCATCAAAGACAATGGTGATCTTTCCTGCAACGCCAGAGCCCTCCATGCTGTAGGCTTCAGAGACAGAGCTCGTGTCAGAGGCCCAGGGCGTAGAGCAGCGGCTAGAGGCCGTCTCCCAAACAATACCACTGTCCTCGCTCTGAACTGTTACCATGGAGAACGATGGGTCCACCATCAGGCACTGGAGTTTGGGCTTTATCGACTGGTCCTGGACAACCTCTCGCAGACTGAAGGAGGTAAGAACGGAGTAGAGTTAGATGGAGGACAGGAGGCTGTTTGTGCCGTTCACTAGAAGAGGAAAGGCATTACTAAACAGTCTAACTGCAAGAGGAGATCCTTTTGGAAATGCAAGCAGAGAACAAACCAATGAATCAAATCACAAAATATCTGAGCAACATGTGCCAAAATTCACGTTTTGCAGCACTGAGCCAAATGAGAAAATCTAAGCTGAAAACAAGATAACATGCGCTGAGCTTTTCTCAAGATGATCATTTAAGAAGTGTAGATCTTGTCAGCATTAGAGCAGGTGTCTGGTGCAAGGCTGTCAATGTGAGTGATGAGCTGAAAAAAATAATGATCAAATGCGCTCTGAGCTGTCCCTCCTGCTATGAATACAGCTTAGTGCCTGCAGGGTTACCGCGAGGTGACGTCCCAAAGCGTCATTCATGTAATTTTAGAGAGGAGATGCCTGGCCTTCTCAGATACATCCAACATATCAGTATCTTCTACTATTTATGACATGGCAAGGACGGCTAATGCGCCCGGTAAGAAACATGATAAATGAGATGTAAAATATGGGATGACCAATAATATCAAATATTAGAATAGAGTGCAGTGCCACACTGACAATCCTTGTGTGAGCTGAGGAACAGACGATCATATAATGTGTTAAAGGACATTCACGGGGCACTGTTTTGTGTAACATCTATACTCCTCTCCAGTCAGAGATATGACGCAGCTTCCCTTGTCTTTCTCTAAAGCAAAATGTATTTGAACTAAAAAGCCCAGAAGCAAATGGTTTCTCACAGACTCCATTCAGTAAATTTCATGATAAGAGCTCCCAGCAGAAAAGACATCAATTTACACAAAGACTAAGTGATCCATAACTGACGTTATTCAGTGTATATATGGTCCAGACAAGAGAGTAGAGCACCTGTTTTGCAGTTCCTCCACCTCGTCTTCATCATCCTGGCTGATGGCCTCTGAAGCGTCAGACTGAAACTCCATCAGCTCTGAGTCCAGACTCACACATCCCTCCATCATGCTAATATCCACCAGCTCTTCCCTTCCGCGGCTCCCAATTTTGTTTTTCTTCTGTGTACTTTAGAGTCCTCTTGATTTTTTCAGTCACTCTGGATTCGGAGGGGCTGGTCTGCCTGTTTGTGTCATTCTAAGTTGGGAGCTGTCCATCTGACTCAGCGAGGGACAGAAATAGACTGAGAGGGGAATGAAAAGAAGGGAGAGGAGACAGAGAGGGGAAAAGCAGTGAGAGGGGGTATGTTTCACTGGCTGTTGAGTTAAGCACACTAACAACTAACTCTAAGAGATGGTTAGATTTTCAATGTTTTATAAAGGATTGTTATAGATCTAAGAAATCCATTATGTTGCTCTTGGTGTGCGCCGGTGTCTAATATCTGAGTGAGGCAATGTGACTTTAAGATCAAAATCCCCTTTGCTGAGTTAAATATAGGCCGTGAGCTGAAACAGTACCCCCCGGTCCCCCTGCTGCTGGTGGCAACACTAAACAGATCCGTGGACACACATACACACATATTGTAAGGTATCTACCCCTCGCAGTGCCGGCACTAGACAGAAGTCATAAAACTAGGTGTAATAAGGTGTCAAACCACAGATAAAAACCAATGAGCACACTGGCTGCCAGAGGAGGCCGCAGAAAACATTTGAACAAAAGGTGCGCTCGTTTTATAATCTTTTTCAAGGCCTGTGAATCACAAGCACCTGTAACGTACTGAATGACTTCAGAGCTCATGGTAATAGAATAGAATAAAATAGAATAGAAAAAGTCGTTCAACTGAGGAACCAAAATGACACCTGATTTCAAGATCAGGTGGACTAGCACCAGATCTATGGGACAGTTTTGTGCTTTATCAGTCAATATCTGTACGTATAGTTCCTGTGGAAAAAATGATACCAGTTTGCATGAGAAATTAAAAGCATGCCACCTAACCTCAAATCTGAACATGAATGACACCTTAAAAAAAAGAAGCCAGTGTTCAATTTAATATGATTTTGACACTTCTATTAGCATAGATGAGAAATGAGAGGGCTTCTCATGGAGCTCAAAAATATAAAGTGAAACAATCATACATCTTCAGAGATTTATTTTTTTTTAAATAAACATTTAAAAGTCAGTAATGTACAAAATGTACAAAAGCAGCTGAGGAAAAATATAAACCAAATGACGAAAGAAAAAACAGTCACACTCATAAGTGTGAATTCTGCAAATAACTTATTTGTTAAGTGAAACGAAAATGAATGACTAGCACGTCAGGTTTTGTCCAAATAAATCAAGTACATAGCTGAACTACAATGACATATATTTGTTACGAGTCAAGGAAAAATAATACATCACCTCATGAACAATGATAAAGGAGTCTGAGATCCAGAGGCTGACGTCTTCACAGCCCTCTAGTGATCACCTCAAAATCATTTAAATTACAACACTAACTTCAACATGTCTTAATAAAAAGCAGTTTTCAGAGGAGCTCAGAAATTTAAAGATGAAGATGATGAAAAAAAGAGAGGGCCTTTAATGCGGCGGTAGAAAAAAAGTGTCTATAGGGTTTTAAGCCAACGACAGCTTCACTACTGACCTAGAAAAATAGAAAAAAGGCTTTAATGTTCCAAGTTGGTCCAGACAGGCAATATATATACTGTACATGTATGTGGCATCTTCCAATACGACTGTGCAGTAAGGCTCTAACAATGTGGATGTAACTAAAACTGAGATCGGAGGAGAGAAACATGGCACGAGACTAGTCTTTCAAACCTAAACACTGTTGCTTCCATTTAAAGATAGCTTGAGATATGGGCGGGTTGCAGGTGTTATTTTGTGTCTTCACATACTCTGTTGATAAACTTAACTTCCTCCTAGGAATGCTATGTGCATTATGAAAGAGGGCGGTATAGCAGCAATAACCATCTCTACTAACGCTGGCCATTATCATCCTGCTTCAGTGCAGCATCTCTCCGTCACCAGTATAAGTGACAAGCTTTGATTTCAGAGTCCCCTGGCTTCACTCCAGAAATATTGTATGTTTTCATCCACTCTCACTTACTGGAATATTACATTACATATATTTTGCAAAGGCGGCAAAGCAATTGATAGTGCATAATATTCAATAGGTGCTGCCATAGGACACACAGTATGTGACTGATACGGAGGAGGCCAGAACTTTCAGAGTCCCAGAAACTCTCTGGCTGTGAGGTGCGGAGGCAGCACAGCTCCTCTCTCAGCACATCCCAAAAGGTCTTTCATCGTTTCTGGGCACAGGGCTGTTCTTGAGGTAGAAGACTCCAGTCAGCTCGTCTAATTAAAGGAACCCCTTATCTCCTGGATGACTCTTTATTAATGATGGCTCTGACTGGGAGGATGGAGTTCAGGTCCTTCCTCTGCTGCAGTATCCGACATGACTGCGCAGACACAGAGAGATGAGAAGCAGGAGGATTATGAATAACTCATAGCTGGCCCACAGCGGCTCATGGGAAGAAAGAAAATATGAATAGAGCACAGTTATCAGGACTGGCACGTACCTCAGCAAACTGAGCTTTAATGGCATCAAACTTGATCTTCTCATGGACTGCCCTGGCGACGTTATTTCTTTCAAATGGCTCTGAAACACAAAGAATCGCTGTCGCTCACTGAGTATGTTGAATTACTGGGGACATTTCTTTCACTCATGCTCCAGTTTTTGTCTGGTGGTGGTTGCAGTAGCACGTTATGTCCACTGAAATGTTTACCTTCCACACATATGTATTTGTTTCTCCACTCTTGAGAATTGGTCTTGGCCAAAGCTCTGGCTTCTCGAACAGAGATCACCTGCTTATCCCACCTGCAAGACACAGGAGAGGGAAATGTTTAGCGCTTATTAGACTGAAAAAAACCCACAAAGACCAAGATTCTGAAAGACTATAATAATGTCTAATTAGCTACAAAACATGCACATTTCACGGCCAACAAACTAAGGGGAAGTTTTCCAGATAGATTCTGAACCTTCCAGGTGTCTGTTGGTTTTGGTTCAGTTCAGTGTAGTATAAAAACAGACACTTGCTGAGGAAAGATAATATCAAGTAGCCCTTTTAATTTGGTCAAAGTTATGTGATCGTCATGTGATGATGTGGTAATCAAAAAAAGTTTTCCAAACTCATTCTTAATGGACAATGTCTACAACACATTTTGCCTATTGTCTGTGTTTTGATTCAAAAGTCTTAAATGTTGAAGCTTTACTTTTCACGCAAACTTAATACTGATTTTTTTTTTGTTGTTAAGTTTATTGACATAAGTTGGTTACAACAAGTTGTTAAAAAGGTAGAAAAATGTGTTAGTCAAATGTACTACTTTTACTTTCTTTACTGCTTTTGTGTGCAGTAACTTCAAGGGCAAAAGAAAAGCAAAATCACTCACCAAGTGTGACCTGTTTGAGTGTTTGATACTGTGAAATGTAAAAATTAGTGCATGTTTGCATGGTGGGTTTTAGCTCAACCTTGCAACTGTGGCATGGCACGCTAACACACATACTGCAAACACAGAGACCATGGTATGTCATGTTAGTGCAGTGTAAGGCCAAAGGTCCCACCTGCTCCTGCCCCTCACCCAGAAACATGAAACCAGAGAAGAGGATGCAGGACAGAGGAAGAAAAAGGAGAGATGGGGGACTGGAGAGGGAGAAGGAGTTGGCGCAAGGAGCTGGAGACGAGGAATGGGAGCAAGAAAATGAGCAGGCAAAAGAACCATGGGTGCATCTGAAACACTAGACTCAGTAATGTGATGTCCTTGGGAGATACCTGAAGCTTGTGGAATAGTATTTTAGAAAGCCCAGAAGCAGCTCTCCCAGAGAGGACTGGTTTCTTGACACGTAGGGGGGGACGTGTTTAGGTCCCTCCGGAACCATGTCGATGTCCATGAAGGGATTAAAACACTCCTGAAAAATCAAGGCACAAGACAAACACTCAACACTGAGTGACACTAGGGTTACACTTAGAGATGTGTGAAATGGTTTACCGTCATATTAAATGTGGATTCTAATTTCTCAAAGTGAAGAGTTAAAAACAGAACATTTAAACTTCTGTAGGTGTTGCCTCTGGTATTTTGTCCACAAGACATTTTCATTATAAAAGAGAGTCTTTGTTTGTGATGAGTGAAGCAAATTCTTTGTAGCAATGTGTTTTTACAAATACACACAATAAAAGTGCAAAGGAGTGTCTGCAAGTAATTTACTTCTTGTATCTTGTGACATGTTGCCTGTTAAACATACTATTTGACATCTTAAATTGTTAACTATTTACAAAAAAAAAAAAAGTTTCCAGCTGCAGTTATTGTAATCGCCCTGGACAGGAAGGTAAAAAAAAAGAAACGACTGAACTGATACTGAAATGAGATTTACATGACTGCACAAGCAGTGAAGACACTCACTGGGTAATCCCTCTGTAGAGACGGAAGGACAGGTTCATTAAGGGCTGCAAAGAAAACGACACATCACATACACAGTGAGATTCACTATGAGTCAAAGGTTCAAAAGATTTTATCTGTGTGCGTGATTGTACTGACTCTGGAGGTAGTGCAGGACCATCAACACAAGTGTGTAGCTGCTTAATGTCCCTTTGCTGGCATCATTGATTTGATTGTGCCGTGCCCACTTCTTGATGACAAGGATCATGGGTCTTATCCTGAGATCAGCTGAGAGACACAACAGAAACACACAGCAGGTCAAAACAAGAAACTTCTTTGCCTTCCTTTCAAGAAACAACTGCACTGCACATGGTTGAACTAATAAACAGAGTGATCAGTCACAGTTAAATCTGACTTAAAAATAGACGGATGAATTTTAAATAGTTACTGCCACAGAAATCAAAATATTAGTTTTCCCACCATAAGCGTAACTCCTCAGAAGGAATGTGTTTCTGATGCCCACGGTGTTGTTGATATTCAGATCAAACTCCAGATCACTACAGAAGGGGGGAGTAGCAAAAGAGTCACATTGAGACTTATCACTAAAATTGGTGATGTTGTAAACACAGGCTTCAACTGTTTTGCTCCTACCTGCCTTTCTCTCTGAACCTGAGGATCGGCACTTTGGCTCTGATCAGCTGAGTCCTCTCTACATATGCTATAAATCAAAACAAAGATTTATTGATTTATGCTAGTTTCAGTTTCCTTTACTGTAAACCTGAAACTCCTTTAGCTCTGGATAAAAAGCTCCATCTAGTGGAGAATGCGGAGAACATAAAAATTGGAGAAAAAAATGAAGCAAATATAAATAAGAAGTTGGATAATAGTAAATAAGTAAGACAGTGTTTCCACCCATGTAAAAAAAATGTTCAAAGATAACAGTAGACGAATTAACAAAATTATATATTATTCTAAATGATTTGGTATTTGCAAAAAAATTATTTTATTTACTCACAGAGTGTTTTAAACAACCTTTGGAGGACAGAAAGCACATGAATAGGATCAGGTCTTTTCTGAAACAAAAAAAAAAAGTGCAGGTGTTCATGAGGAAGTGGGTATCTATGACTGTTCATTTTACATATACACACAGACATTCATCGCAGAGAGTCAGAGATACATACATTTCCCTTGAGGACCAAACACAGATCAGCATCACTGCTCCGGCAGCCCAATCCATTCATAGAAGATCCAGTCAAGTAAAGGCGTGCCACTGTGTGAAACACACATTGTGAGTAAGAATCAGAACAGAAAGTCAGAGCAGACAGTGACTGTATACAGTCATACACACCTGCATAGACACGTTGTATGTCTTGCTGCAGCTGGGCTCGGCACATCTCCTTCCGGGCCAGATCAGAAGATTGCTGCTGGCACGCCTCAAACAGCTCCACCATCTGATCGCTCAGCTGAGGGCACAAGTGCATGCATCACTAACTAAACCAAAGCATATCTGCACGTATACACACATTTAAAGACTTGATGTACTGTATGTTAGCAGCAGATTAAGGCCATCTGAATATACCTTGTCCTTGGCGTAGTCCTGCAGGCTGTTGGAGCTTTCTGGGACAGCAAACACCTGAGGGCGCGGATGGGAGTGTGGGCTGAGATAAGAGCGATCAAAACCAGAGAAGGATGATCTAGAGGACCCAGCCACCACTCGGTCAGGATGACGAGGAGGAGGAGGGGGTGGAGGGGGAGGAGGGACTCGAATTAAAGGGGAGCCTATTCGTGGGTGGGAAGAGGAGTCAAGGCGTTGGCGCTTCACAACATGGGGGCTGTAGTCATCATTCTGCCTCCTGGAAAAAAGATTATGATAAGAAAACATGTGAGGAGGGACGTTAAAAGGCAAACGGTCGTAAAATGCAGGTGAGTTTAAAGAATCAGAAGAATCAGAGTGGTTATACAGCACTGTATGAATGGTAAAATGACATACTTTCGTCCATTGGTCATAGTTGGTGTGTGAGGAGAAGGGGGTACTGGAGAGGTCAATGGTGGGGGTTTCCATTCATATGGAGGAAACCTCTCAAGTCCAGGAACATAGAAGCTACCAAAACACAAACACATATTACCATACAGGACACAGGCGAATAATGAAAAGACTATCTGGTCTGTCTCTGTTGATTTCAATGGTTGTATTTATTGTGGGCCCACACCTCTTATATCAAGCTGCAAAGAAGACAGAGGAAGGCATAGTCATCTTCTCTCTGAACAAATTCCAGTTAACATTAAGCACTACAATCTTCAAGGTTGGACAGTCTGGTGTCAAAGATTACTACGTTTAAAGGTGAATCAGCAGCTATACGAATACATTTCAACAAAGTCTACTACAGGGACATAGAAGGGTCCAACAAGTGGCCATTAGTAAGTTTACCGCTATTACACTGATACTGCTGTGTCCAGCACACCTATGTAGTTTAGTGTCTTCCTCAGGCTCACCTGTTGACACCTGCCGGGCGTTGATGGTTGTATTCGTAACGTAGTGGACCCGGGGGTGGTGGGTACAGGCCGTTACTGTAGGCTGACCTGCCCCTCGAGGCAGCGCTGCGGGGGAACATGCTGCGGGTCTTCGCGGAGCATCAACTTCGCTGAGTGAAAACAAAAGTGCGACATTAGCACCCGGCGGGTCGCAATTGAACGAAGAACCGTAGCACTGGTAATCAATGCAATATTTCATCCACGAGTGACGAAAAAGCCACGAAAAGTTTCAGAGGAACCCGAAACTTCCCTGTGAACAGGATGTGCAGCAAGATAGCAAAGTTAGCTCGCGTAAAGCAGCACCTAGCTAGCTAATTCAAATGACGTTAACCTTTCTACCTAAATATTTTTTTTTTCACTGTATGTTTATATGAGTAGTAAGTCTATGGGAGCGTGTCACTAAATGTTAAAAGCGTTTACTCAAAAACGGAACCCACACCCTGTTACACTTACCAAATTTCATGTCACATGTAAACAAAACTGAAGGTGCTAATTTCCTGCACATACACTTCCGCATTGATACCATGACGTAATGGAACTCGATTTAAAGGGGACGCTGCCACGCGCTTATTAAAGGGAAAATCCACCCAAAACAACAAACTCAAACTAAAAAAATTAGGTCACTCTGTGCTGTATCAAAAAATACTGGACAGTGAAATGCATTTTTTTAAAAAGCCATTACATCATGATTTTGGGTATCTGTGTGATTATATTAAACATTTGGTTGAGACAATTTTGTATACCCAAATGAGTTTCATTTGAATTTTACTTTAGCCTCAGATAAGCCCTTTTACCAGTAAAATGACTGTGGCTGCTGTCATGTTGTTTATTATCCATTGTCTGTTCAGAAACCTTGGGATTTATTCAATTCACACATTTATACTGAGCTTTTGAATGTTATAAACATAACAAGCATGTTTTTTTTCAAATCTAGTGGGGTTTCCTCTCAAAAGTCATTTGTTCCCTGTATTTCAGTGACAAGATATGAATGGTGAAAACAGCAGGGTTGGCAGTCCTAACTGTAAGTGGACATTAAGTCTACATAGACCTGCACAGAGGGCTTCAAATAAATTATTTTTGATTTTATTGCATTGACCTTTGTTACTGTTATGTTGGCTTTGTGAGTTCTGGTGTATAGACTAAGCCTATATGTATGACCTAACATGATCAATTTATCAAATATTTATGGACTGACATTTACCTGAGATTCCTGTGTCCTCAGATTCTTGTTCTTGTGGTTATTCTTAAAATCATTGTCTTGAGGCATGGCACAGAAGCATATTTACATTAGATGGTGCCTTCCATAACAGAGGCATTTTCTCACAACCACAGGGTTCAGAATTAGATGTTCTCCCTAAATCCCTTTTGCTGACTTGAACAGTGAGCTAATAAGAAATTAAAAAACAAGAACTCATAAAACAGCCATCTCAGACAAATAATAACACTGTACAAGACCAGAAGATGATAAAGAATCACATGTATAAATGTGACAAATATTCATAAATGGTGCATTATTCAGTCACTTTGGAGTGAAATGTAGAGTACACAGTGTCTGTGTTGCGGGCTGCCAAAGACGATTGATTTATTGACAGACAATAGCCTAAATAACTCATGGAGCATGAATGTGGTTCTTTATTGGGTTGTTTATTATTAAACTGTTATAAGCAACGACCAGTTCATTAGACATAATAACAGAAGCCTCGTATTGGGATGCTGATATTTTCAGAAAATGTGTCATTTAACGTAGAAAATTACATATTACAGCCCTGGAATAACGTTTCATAAAGCTCTCGGTGAGTATCAGGTACTTCCCAATAAACTTCTTATAAAACAACAAAACATCAAATGGCATCAGTCCCTAGAGGACCGAGTGACGTCACTGCGGAGGACGGTGTCGTGACGTAGGCAGTTCAATACTGACACTGATCTGAGTGGGAGGGAAGCGGATGCATCGGCCAGATGTGGACCGGTGTGGTGGTGTGGGGTGGGGTGATGTGGAGGGGCGTGGGGCGTGGACACAGGGGTCTGTGGATGGGCGTCGATCAATAAAGCACATATACAGCTAATACAGCTTTAACATAGAAGCTGCAGAATAATTTAATCTATGCAAACGACTTCACATACCCGCATTGATCAGGAGAGCTAGGGTTTGTCAGGTGAATCAAAAAATTATGTCGCAAAAACAAAAAAGATTACCTTAGGTTCAGTCCAAGAGCTCCGTTAGAAATGAGAAATGTACTGGTAATACTGAATGTGTGGAACAGCTGTGAAATAGCTGTAGTCTGGGAGAGAGTGGGGGTGTAGCCTGTGAGCCTATGGTAATGAGAGAGAGAGAGAGAGAGAGAGAGAGAGAGAGGGAGGGAAAGAGACGCGGGTGGACAGTGGGATGCTGTGCGTTATCTGGCTAAATGAGGGTTGTCTTTCCCAGTTCAGGCAGCAGGGCTTCTCCACCCTTTCAGCGAGGATCTGTAATTTACACGACAACAGCAGGGCACCCATCGGATCTCCATTGGACTCTGCGCTGGATCTCCCACAGCGCTGCTCCTGCTCCTGCTCCTGCTGCTCCTGCTCCTGCTGCTGCTGCTGCTGCTGCTGTTGCTGCTGCTGCTGCTCCATCACCAAACGCTCAACGCCAAAGCAGGAGAAGAAGCTCTGATTTCCGTGCCATGTGTAGAACGACACGTATGTGTGAATTCATGCGGTGACAGCGGAGGGGGAATGGAGCAGTTGTCATCAAATTCCTGCAGACGCGCCGACGGTGATAAAGGGGAGGCTGTCGTGTAGAGAGAAGACCTTCATACGCAGCAGCCAATCCGAGAGATTCGTTTTCATTGCCAGCGAAAAGGATCAGTGGTCAGGTGTCGCCTTTCATTTCAACCACAACAATGGGGTAAGTGTGATTATTATCCCACAGGCAGACTGAGTTCCTTGTCCGTCCTTTCTGTATTCATATCAGCTGCGGCCGCCTCACGCGATATGAACTTCCCTGCCATGGAAACCACACCACGCATAACAAAATAACGACCCAGGTGTATGCGTAAAATTCTGTCTGTCTTAACATAAGGGTGACGGTAGATGCACAGTTCAGGTGGGCTGTCTGACGTACCGTTATGTGGTAGAGTAGTGATCTTCTGATGGCCTTGGTGTGCTGCACACAAAAAAACAACAATTTATGAGGCAAATAATGAAGCAACTTATGCCTCTCCCCTCAGAATATGCTCTGTTTGGTCAAATACATATACACTTTGGACCAACGTGCTGGCACACAAATGCTGGTGCAGAAGTTGCTGCCATCATCAAACTTTTAGGACCAAATAGTGGGTTAATCTGCAGTGGCTCCCAAAGTGGGACTACCAGGGGGTCCTATAGGGATTTCTGGGTGTGTTTACCAAAATGAAGCAAAGTTTAGATTCTTTACTATTCCACAATCCCTTATTTTTGCTCTAGACCAATGAGAGAGTGGATGAAGATGTTGGTTTTTCTAGGTCTCTCTGTCCCACTGTTTTCTCCCCACCTACATTATAGACAGTTATGTAATTCAGAAAGAAAGCATTTGTAACAACAGCATCTCAGAACATCACAGATCTGTGCTATGATGTTCTGTACATCCTGTTCTGGGTCCTGCTCTGGAGAAGGCTTGGGAACAGTATAATGTCAGAAGCGGGTTAATGTCGGTAGCTACAATGCTGCACAAGGCTCGAGTAGCAGAGAGTGGCCGCCTCTCTCTATGGCAGCGCAGTGACCGCTGCCTTACACGTCCTCAACAACAGGCACCCATCAGTGAAATATCTGCCTAGTGCACAGCACTGCTCATTTGCATGTCCCCTAACCCTGAGCTCAGCGGTCCATTTCCCCCACCAAGCCTGCCGTTCATTAACAGCTGTCTCCTGCAGTTCATTGTGATTAATTGCACAGCAGGAGGTTAACAATATGGCACAGGCATGGTGCGATTTCAAGGCATCAGCCAAAACTCCTGCATTAACTATTTACAATACACTGGAGGCTTCCCAGGCGCCCACTCTGCCCTCCTACAGTGTGGGCAGCACACATCATTCAGCAGTCTCCCACTCAGCTTCAGCTCTCCACTGGGCTCTGCCTCACTGGTGACTAACTTACTGTTATGCAACTGACTCAATGACTCAATTGATCCACAATGGAATAAATTGTAAACTGTGATTAAAGGCACTATGCCTCATACAGCATGTGTACTCAAGTGTGAATATGTGCAGGTGCAGATGAGATGAAAGCGTACATACAGTTTGTGCAGATCTATTGTCTAGCTGTCTGTCCAGCAGTAATGCAACAGACAAGAGAGAGTCATATTTCACTTCCCGCCTCGTGGCTCAATACCAAGCCTCTTGCAGATCTAATGGTAACGGCACAGAGGAGAACATTAGTGTTGGACGAGAACTGGAGATGCCTATCAACACTCTCTGTGGTGCGCTCTCACTTCCTTGGGCTAATACAATCAATGCACAGATGGACTCAGTTCCTCTCCGTGTCTTTGTCTTTGCTTGATTGTGTGGGTGTGTGAGAAAGAGTGTGTGTGTATGTGTGTGTATGTGTTTACAGGCATATCTCAGGTCATCCAAGCTGCTCCCAGTAGATGGAGCAACAAGGAAGCTCTCTCATTAATGACTTCTCTCTACCTTAAATATGATCTACTCGCCCTCAAGCTCTCCTCTGTTGAATTAATGAAAAACTCTGGAAACAAAGGACAACTTCAGGAAAGGTGGAGGTGGCAAGGGAGAGTGAGATCTCCTGAGATGAACCATTTCATTATGCTTGGGTTTCGCTTGTGTTTGCGGAAAGAGGGGCAGCTGCATAGTTAAAGGGGACACACTCAAGTAGAAAATAAAATGCAGCGTTTTGTGGTTTAAACTAATGTGTGTGTGTGTGTGTGTGTGTGTAAGCTGTTTGGTTACACACTGTGACTCAAAGACTGAGTGTTCACATCTGTGCATCAAACCCCTGAAGCACAAGAGGCGCTATAGGCAACACCTGTTGGAACTGCAGATGAGAGAGAGTGTGTGTGTGTGTGTGTGTGTGTGTGTGTGTGTGTGTGTGTGTGTGTGTGTGTGCTCATGTGAAATGCCCTGTAGACATTGGTACAGTGATGTTAACAGATCAATACCAGTGTTAACATGTCTAGGGTTGAGGTTGTGTGCCATAGTTCAACATATTTTGATGGGCCAGCTCACCCTGATTACAAAAAAAAGTTTTTGTTTCATTTTTTTTATTCTACATCATTTTACACAATTTTATTTTGTTTTACATCACAGTCCACAAAATCCACAGACATAACTGTTAATAGTTTCATGGGGTCTAAAGTAGAAAGTAGTTCAGATGAAGACTTTTCACCTTGAGGGCTGTGGATTATGAAGACTAATGGGGGACATTGTTTTCTCGCAAGAGATGTTACTGTTGAATGGTTTTAGATGCATTTTTCATTCGATTCCATTGTGCTGATTTGAGTCCAAGAGCTATCACAAAACCTGGCCAAATAAAATCAGAACTATACCTAGAGGTGTTTCTTTTGTAATTTGCGTGTACTGACTGTTTAATTCACAAGAACACACATCAGAACAGCCATTTTATCTTTAAATCAGTCCACTTGTGGCACTCTTTTCTGTTTTCCAAAATTTAGTCTGTGTGAATGGAAATTACTGTGATTTGACACAAAATGAGATGCCGATGTCCATTCCTACAGCTATTGGCCATAATGTTCTAAATATAATATAATAGAATAGATCTTTATAGTCATTGTTATATAGTCCATCCCTGTTTGACTGTTTTGCCTTGACAGCTGTGTGACACAGACCCATTCTTTTCCTTAAAAACTTGCACTGTGTTCCTGAAAGTTCAAATCTGAGCAGCACACAGCCACAGTTCATGTAATTGTTTATACCGCACTGTGTAGCAGTTTAGAGCTTCCCACTCCCTCCATCTTCCTCTGCTGGAAGATGGGTGGATTCATCAGCTCTCTATCCTCTCCGACATTCATCACCTCCTCCACGTTCTCCTCATCTCCCCCCTTCTTCTCTCACTTCATCACTCTCCCTCCCTCTCTCATCTTGCCTGCCTTCTCTCCCTCTCTCTCTCTCTCTCTCTCTCTCTCTCTCTCTCTGTTTTTAACATTCACGTTCCGTCACCTGCCCTTGTGTCACGCAGTACACTGCATGCTAAACACCTCCTCCTCCTCATCATCCTCCTCCACACTTTCTCCTTTACCAGTCATTTGCACCCAACTGAAATGACCACTTACTTTTCCTTTTTTCATGCCCCCCCCCCCCTCCCTTTGGTGTGGTGGGCAGCTTTTGTTCTCACATTCACACTTTCTACACACTTCTTTCATGTACTGATGAAAGTTATACAGCATCTTAAAGCATTTTCTCCTGCTTCCTCTCTTTCTTTTCTTTCTCCCTGTTGCTGAATCTGTGTAACTGCCAGGTAGCCCACATGCTAGCGCTGGAGTTCATCGCTCGAGTGCAAGAAGATCAACATGTTCTGAATTGATCTCCATGAAATCTGTCAGGCTCAGACCAGAACCTGTGGTGCGAACACGTCTGATTGATCTGATAACTTTCATGTGTGGATATACCTGCTGTTAAGGAAGGAAAATATATATTTTTATTCTTATTTTGTAAGAGAGCAGGATTCATCATTTCATCCCATTCCATCATTTATTGTGCTATCTTTTAAAAGTTTACTTGTAGGAGTAGGTATTGCTTTTTTTTGACAACTGGTGGGTGTCATTTTGGAACAAAACTCTTTGGCACAGGCATTCATGTAAAAATCAAAGCAAAGGAACATTGCTGTGTTTGGTACACACACAATCAAGCAACAAGAAGCTCAAAATTTGCCACAGCTCCATCAAATTATGCAATGAAAAACGATGCCAGTTGCCAAGCGGCTATTGCACAGATCATACAGACAGGCCGGGGTTGTGTGATGTGTGCTGGGAGAGAGTTGAAATGACTCACAGTTCTGCCACTTACACTGCTGTCGATGATTATGATAATTCGCACAGAGCACTCCACAAGCAGCTTTGTGGAGCGGCATTAATCATCCCAGATTCACTCCCTGACTTCCCATACTCTTCACATTCCCCATCATTTTCTTTCTCTCCCTGCCTAACTTCCTTCTCTCTCTCTCTCTCTTTCCGTGTCTCCATGTTTTTCTTTCTTTCCCAGTCTTGGCTAATCACACACAGGAGGGGTGCTGCTGCTGAATTTTAATATTAATTTATACAGCAAGCCTTTGATGTCCCCCATCACCCCCTCAGTGCAGTGTAAGCACTTCTCTATCTCCTGCTCTGCCAGCACTGCCAGCCCAGAATATCTCCCTCTGCACCCTGCGCTTTGAGAGAGAGAGAGTGTGTGTGTGTGTGTGTGTGTGTGTGTGTGTGTACTGACTGTAGATATTACCCAAGAAGCCCCAACAATGCTGGAATATATGAGGGCAATGGAAGAGCAAACTGAAGAGTGAGGGATAAATGGACGAAGAGTGAAGGTTGTGCATAAGTGACGGGTGAATGGTTGGTCAAAAAAACAAAGATGACTCTTATATAATCCCCAATGCAAATGGGGGTGAATCTAAAGTCTGGTTTGAGTGTCACACAGAGGTCAATAAGGAATTAAGTCATCTCAACTGAACCCATCATGGAGTTTTCATCACCTACTGATCCAAGCTACGCAAGCACAAATCCACATAAACACTCACACATAAACACTGATTTATTATTCCCTCACACTTGTGTCATTGTGTGTGAATGCTTATGCATTTATGTGTGTGTGTGTGTGTGTGTGTGTGTGTGTGTGTGTGTGTGTGTGTGTGTGTGTGTGGAAACTGCAGCTCAGTGGGGTGTGTCTGTGGTAGTTAACCATGGCCTACTGTCTATATTTAGCCTCAAACCCTCTCCTTTCCCCCCCGTGTTCCCCTGTGTGACCCTCGCTCAGTGCTGCAGGCATTCCCATATCAGAGCAGAGAGAGACGACGCCGCCTTACACAGAGAGAAAGACAAAAAGAGTTTCTGCCGGATAGCTGCATGCATCTAGTGTGTGCGTAGAGAGATAATGTATGAGAGGAGGAGTAGACTTGAGGTGTATGTAGGAACTCTGCTATAGTTTTATAGTTTTGATATATATATGTATACAAGACTATGAGTGTCTGTAGTCGTCCTTTGACAACCTCTCTTTCTGTGGCGTAACTATGGAGGATGGCGAATTGGTAATTCGGTTGCCTGGGCGATCTGACTCCCCCGTTGGCAACAGGAGTTTCGGTGCTGGCGGTGGGTTTGGTGAGACGCTGGTGTTGCGCCACAAAGAGGTTCACAACTTCTTCTTCGTCCCTTTCAGGGAGCAGCCCATCTACAGCACGCGGGCCCACGTCTTCCAGATTGACCCCAACACCAAGAAGAACTGGCTGCCCACCAGCAAACATGCGGTCACTGTCTCCTACTTCTACGACAGCACACGCAACGTCTACCGCATCATCAGCCTGGACGGCACTAAGGTGAGCGGTTGATTCTGATGGTTGCCGTTCATCTCGCACACCTCGTCGCACACACAACACAGGTTTCATTGTACCTCTCCTGCTGCACCCTTTGTGTTATTTTTATTTACTGCCAGCTGACATGGTTTTATGAAGACCTTCCAGATGTTTCAGTATAATCACCTCTTCACACATCAAACGGCCTTCCATGAGATTTTAGTGGCGCTGTGATCTACTGAGCGTTAATGGAGTTAATAAGCTCTGCACTGGAATCTAATGTGCAAACACATCTTAAAAGGGGTTCAGCGTTGCAGCCTGTCCCAAGACTGACAGCTCAAGTTTCATCATGTTTATGCATGCAACTACTGTATTTGTGAGTGCATGTCCGTGCGCTGGTGTCTGTCTGCACTTCAGAGTCTACAATTAACGTCTCAGGATATTCTTGTTAGAGATCTAGGAGGGATATTTCTGCTGGGCATGGTGTGATCGAGTCACACACATGCACACTCCTCACCAGTTATGGAGACAGGAGACAGGGCTGAAGTTAAATGAGAGAAACAGATGACAGAGTGAAAAGGATGTGTGGTGGAAAACGTAACTAGAGCGGCAAAGGCAGAAAAGTGTGAAGCCAGGTGAACGAGACGGTGAGAGAAATGTGAAGGACTGACAGCAGCAAAGCAAAGTCACTGAGTTAAATTCAGTGATCGCCACGTGTGCGCGTGACGGTCAATTTAGCAACCAACTCATATCATACAGCACTCAATAGATAGATGATCACTAAACTAAACTATTGTGTAACCCACAGACTCACGGACTGCTACCCTTCCCAAACACACCATTATGTAATGATGCCAACCAAAATGTCAGCTATTACACAACACTGCTAATTGATCAGCCATTAATTTGTTTTCTATCAATGTTACTTTACAAAAGAAGTTGAATTATATAAGATTTAGATGAAGCCTTCTATTTTGGCTCATACACGCTCTGACTTCCACACTGCACCCAAATACCTTTGGTTCCTACTGAGGATTTTGTTATGACCCCAGCTCAAGAGGTCACAACAAAAAGATAGACGCACCACAGTTGTCATTGATAAAGAATATTTTATTGAACCGAATTGAACCAAATTATGAAACCAAGTTAAATGTTCTAAGTATGAGGTGTGGAAATCAGTAAATCAGTAGTATATGGTGTGCATGGGTGAAATACGTGAGTGCAAGTTTTGTAAAGTGCAAAACAAAAAATAAGGATCAAACTAAGCCATAACATGGCACAACAGCATGGATGTTTTTGTGTTGTTGCGCCTGTGCTGCTCTAGACCAGAAGCTACATACGCTTCTCCTGTCTCTCACACATACGTATAAACACACACACAAACAGTACAATTTGTTACAGTGTTTAGTCTATGAAATATCACAAAACTGTATAAGATTCTCATCACAATTACCCAGAAGCCCCAGGTGATGCATTCGAAAATCTTGTTTTGTCCAAGTAACAGTGCAAAACCCAAAGACATTCAGTTAACAATCATATGAAACAGACAAAGCTGTTTCACATTTGCTCAATAAATACCATATTCCATAGTGTTTCGTTGATACTTCCACGTGTTGTCCTGATTTGTTTTCCAAATAATCTCCATTCAGACACACAAAAAGACACTTCTTTCTGCCTCTCCATCTGACCTGCTCTCTCTTGTACACACACACACACACACACACACACACACACACACTGCAGTAATAAAGTTAATTTTATACATATTAAGTGGGTTGCCTCTGTCCTGCAGGCAATAATCAACAGCACCATCAGTCCCAACATGACGTTCACAAAGACCTCACAGAAGTTTGGCCAGTGGGCGGACAGTCGAGCTAACACTGTCTACGGCCTGGGATTCTCCACTGAGCATCATCTATCCAAGGTACCACCCCCACACACACACACACACACACACACACACACACACACACGCACACACACACACACACACACACACACACACACACACACACACACACACACACACACAAACCACATCTACTGTAAACCTCTAAGCATCAATCACAGAGAGGCTTCTCTTTTCTTCTTCTCCCCCAGTCCCTGAGAGAGGATGGCATTTCAACTTTCTTTTTACTCTAGTTGCTATAGCTTCTCACAAAGTGTAGAATCTGCTTGGCAGTTAGCCCTAATTAGGCTTTTTTTTCTGTGTGTGTGCTTATGAAAGTTATTTATATGTGTGTGTTCACTTTTGTGTGTGTGTGTGAGAGAGAGAAAGAGAGAGAGAAGGTGGTGGTTTCTCTCCTCTGCAGT